GGAATGTCTCATCAAATTGAAAAGAGAAAAGCGAAATTCGAGAACCTCTTGCGCGTGTGCTAAACACCTTAGTAAAAGCGACTCCGTATATCCAGTTGGTTCCAATGTGTTTTGTGAGAGCTGGTCTCTTATTAGTTCCGAGTTGATTACTTTTTTTAATTTTGTAAACCAGTAAACAAACATCTTCTCAAAATAACCGGCAGGAAGAGGCGGTGGCTGGCTTCCGGAGTCGTTTCAATTAAACCATGCTTATTCACCCGGTCGACGCGAAACGTGCGAGACCCCCTCGCGATCTAAATGTTAAATCTAGTAAGTCGGTGAGACACAGTCGCGAACAAGCGATTTACAGCGCGCGTCCCTGGTTCTGAGACCGAGAGTGTACGTCAGTGTTGCCCGACTGCTCCGGGCTGTGGCAGTCTGCGTAGGCGCAATTCCGGACGCTGGTGGCGGCTAAATCGCCACGTTTTATTGTCTCTTCTGTGTTCTATGGCGAATATAATTTCTAGAGGATTTTAAGAAAGCATTGTACTATTTTTGGAAACAAAAACAAAAGCTATCTTTTGGGAGTATGTGCGCGACAGAACAAATGCAATTGGAATGTCCGTTTTATTTCATGTCGATTTTTTACTAGGCCATACACTCAGCCGTGTCAATCTACAAATGCCTTGACTGTCTAAAATACTTGACCACATAAAATAGCCTAAATGCATGGGTATTCCCCACTCACAACATGAAATTGAACGAGTCTCATCAATCGAACAACATATTGCACGTACCCCAGGTTGCAGCGCTATCCGAACAGGATTTTTTTTAGAAAGACCTTAGCACAGCAGATCCCATATACAGTGTCAACGAGTCACTTCACGACGATCGGACAGAACCCGACTTGTCTTTGAGCACATTTTGAAGAGATCTCTTGCACAATACCAAAGCAAATGAACGGACGTGTCTACTCCGTCCCCATACCCTGGACCCCATCAGCTATTTTAAGCGAAAACCGGGAATGTAGCCGAGACACATTTTCGGAGATGTTTCAAGATGTAAACATATTCCCTTGGCTACACCCTCCTCAAGTGGTGCACATCATATATCCCCTTCGAATACGCTCCTTGCAGTCTGATGACTTGACGCCAATGCCGTCTAGTCATCTAGCATATTTAACAACAACACCCCTTTCCACAGAGTGGGTGCGTCCACCTCTCATGCCTTCATTTCAGGCTGAAAAAACCGAGGCACACATACTGGTAAACTGATAAACTTTATCCTAGCGTATTTCTTAATTTTTTTTTTTTCACGTGTAGCTGTGTTAGTTAAAATTTTGTAAGCATAAACCCTAACCGTGCCAACTATTCTACCATGCTTTATCTCGAAAAAGTCCATTAGCGCTCACTCGAGACGCGGCCTACTTTTATCTCGCGCGGATGTCAGCAAGGCATACTTATCAGTTATCAGCCCGCGTGCCGGATTTGAGGGTTCGCGGCGCACGAAATAAGTGACGACATCGTGTGCGCGGTTGCAAGCACATAAAATCGAGAAAAAAAAATGGCGCAATTTGCAAATAGAGTAAACAGAAAACACGCAGATAAAAAAAGATGCTCTTAGATGGTACCGCATATTTTCGCAGATATTGCGAATATTGGATAGAATTAAGATAGGAAACGAAATGGTAGCGAAACGTAATAAACGATGGGGCCGTGTATACTGTGGACGCTTGAAAGTACAAAGTGTATTTACGTTTCTCGTTACTTTTTCGAACACATTCGCAGGCGTCCATGGATGATACGTAAGAAACGTATCTGCGGGTGGGTTACGTCACGGCCTCTGGATCACGCGCTCTTCGCACGGCCTGGTGCGACGCGCATGCTGCTGCTGAAGACGCCAGTAACACCACAGACAACCAGAGATGAAATGGCGCTGCGAATCGGGTGTTGTCAGAGCAGTGGCATAGCGGTATGGAGAAGGGGAGGGGGGATCTTTTAACCGGCACGCCCCCCGCTGAGATCACAACCCTATTTGGTTGCGATCTCAGAGAGTGAATGGTGGAGGGGGGCTACGAAGGGCATAAAAGTTGGGATTATAATGCAATTAATGCAAAGGTGCAAGAGAGCTGGACAATAATGACAATAATAATCCCTGAAGAAGGGGGAACAAGAGGGACAAAGGAAAAACCCAAATCTCCAAACACAGCTAGGTGACTGGTGCGGGACTCCTGGTAAGCTGCTCCACAAGAAATGGAGAGGTCCCTGGTTCAATACCCGGACCAGGCGGATTTTTTTCGGTCGCGCGCCAGTCACCTAGTTGTGAGTTTTGTATGAGATTTGTGTTTCTCCTTTGTCCCCTTTGTTTCGCTTGTCCAGGGATTATTATTGTTATTGGCATAAGGACCCCGGGTGCCGGATGGCCTAGCTACGGCTCTGGGTGTTGTCGGACGGGTGCTAAGTGGTGCAACCCATCGTCCGATTTAAAGTGTTCTGCCGCGTACATTTATTCATGTTGGGGAATCCGAGGTGAACGGCATCCGACGAAGAACGGCAATTTAAATGAAGGACGTATTTTTATTCCAAAACAGACATCCTAAACTTTTTTTTTTTTTTTTCCGGAATGGGCATGAATTGTGTGTGCACGTGCTTCTCAAGCTAGCTCAGTCTAAACCGTTATATCGCTACCGCGGTGCGCTAAAGCGATGCTGCTAGAAAGTGCTAATCTGGGGCATTAACCTAAAGCAGTAAAATTGCATGCCCGTCAATTTCCCTTTCGAAGTGAAATGCGAAAAGGCGGCGATGTAGTTCGCGCTGACAGCGTCACACAGTGTAGCGTGTAGTTCACTATGAACCCCGGGTAAAGGGTTTGTACCCGATAATAAATTAGCAGTGCAATAAACAACAAAATACAAACTAATTGTGCGCACGCTTTTAACCAATGCCAACATATTTTAGGGCTTACGGGGTAAATAGACAGTTGTGCTACTATTATGGATTCGAGCTTTCTGCACTTGCAGCGATGCGCACTTTAAGTAACTACCCAATGACACCAATATTATAAGTGCATTTTTAATCTGGTGTAAATTTTAATTTAAAGGGGCACTGACACCCCAAAGGTCGTATTTATTTTTATTGTCTAAAACGATGCAAGTTGCAGTCATAGACACGCAAAAAAAACCGCATCGCGAAAAAAAATTTCCCCGCGCGCGCGCGCGCGCCTTTTTATTTTTGGCGTTTGATTTTCCCGCCTCTCGCCTCCTCGCTTCTTTTGATCGGTGACGTCAAACATCTGGAAATTTAGAAGCTTTGTAGGCGACATCTCTATAACATTTAATAACGGCAATCGTAAAACATGTTTTTTTAACGCAATTGCGAACGCACTACGGCCCTTCTTTTTGAAATACCAAAAATCGGGAGTTCGTTGTGGTGCCGTCTCCTGGATTTGTATCCTCCAACGGAAAACAGGCGACACCGCTCAAAACCGGTCCGCCGTAACGCCGCCGCTCACTCCTTTCCTCCTCGCTTTGGGTCGCCATGGCAACAGCAGGGAGTGGTGAAAGAAAGTCGACTCTCAGGTCTCCGCGATTTTTGACGTCAAGGCACCGGCGCCGATCGCGCGGGAACTTCGAATTCGGCATTTGGAAATTGTTTTTTTACTTCACAAATACTGAATTCCCAAATTTCAAATTTTGAGGGTAATGTCCCGGCATCGTTTTCAATCGTTTCGGATAATAAAAAAAAATATGATTTTGATGTGTCAGTGCCCCTTTAATCTCACGCAAGAAATCTAGAGATACCCATATTGAATAAGAATAGACAGTAAAATTTCTAAAGCTTTTTATTCATTCATTATTTATGACAGAACAAATAAAACAATTCATATTTTACGCTTAATTTCGAGACGAAATTAAGCGTAAAATATTGACAATGGGAATGTAGCGTACACGAGAACTAATATTGAAACATTGTTTATGTCCATCATGAGCGCTGGGGGTTCGTGATCTCTACTCCACAATCTTGTGGTTCAATCTGACCATATATTCTAAAATAATGGCACTACGCTAAAATTCATAACCATAAGCCCACAAATCTACCGTCGTTACAGTGTGCGAGTACTCTTTTTTTGGCCACACATTGATGGACGGAGGACGAGTCACACAGCCGTTTGACTGCACTGCAGCCTCGCGTTTCACGGGTTTTGCGCTTTTCTTAAAGCTTGCTCTTTAAAAATCTTGTGCTCATCCCGCATACTCGCGCCAAAAAAAAAAACTAATAATAATAATAATAATAATATTGCCATTTGTTAGAAAAAACCGTTCCCAATAACTTTTTTTTTTTTTTTTTTTCAGAGTGAAAAAGTTATTGAACATATAAAACACACCATATTGCCGTAGCCTTGCAGGCGGCAGCACTTCACCACCCGTTACGGTACGATTTACCTGCACGTTACTTTACGCACGATTTACTGCACGTACGTTATTTTACAAAAACGAACAGCCTGTTGTTCGCACGTTTACATCAACACAACACAAATTTGCTGGTGACCGAAAGGGTTAAAAAAGCGACGGTTTGCCACTTCACACCAGGAAGTTTGTCGATCTCTGCTTGTCGTATATCTCTCACTTCGTTTCTCTTTTGTATGCGTTCTGCACATTTATTTCTTCTTTTCCGCGCATGACAATCTACCTCTCTACAACATTAGGCGACCGACTGTCGCTCCGGCGATTGATAGTTGGGCGATAATGCGAATCCACGGACAAACGACACGTTTTCCCCTGGTTATCTTACGAAGCAGGCGTGGGAAGCAAACTGGTCCCCAGGCCAAGAGCGCGCTTCCGTTTAAATCTCCGCGCATCGACACGCAGATAGCGCCCTACAATCGGAGGCGAACATTTAAATTTCGCGGAAACGGTGAGGGGCGGTCGGTCATGCATAGCGGCGACGGAGAGGAGAAGAAAAAAAATAATAGTAATAAAACGCCGTAGCCCGCGGAGCACGTGAACGAGGTGTTCAACTCACCCGAAATATGTCTCAGGTTGTCGTCTTCGTGGTCGAGCAGTTCGTTTGCGCGGGCGGGTTGGTTGACTGCAGGGACGTCGCGCTAGTCGACGCGTGATGTGACAACGCTGGGAGATCACAGCAATAGCAGCACTGACTGTATGACTGAAACCCGAAGCGATCAATGGACCGAAGCCACAGTAGCTGCCGAAGCCCGAAGCGCCTGAAGTTCCGAAGCACTTTAACACACGGATAACCCACGGATGCGATGCGATCAACGCTCCATCTTGCTTCCGCGCCGCGAAGGATGTAAATGCGAAAATGCGAAGCGGCGAAGCTGAGTGAACGTTGCCAGACTGCTGTTTGTATTCCCGCTGCGGCAGTGCGGTGCGGTGACACGGGCAAAACGGCCGACGCGGCTCTGCTGGCTCTGCGGCGGGCGGCGGAGGCCGCGTAGGCGGCGTTTGCCAACGTATGCCAACGCATGCGCGGAAGACAAATTCCACGCAGTTTTGTGGAATGCCTCCTTCGATGACGCGTCGACGTCTCGTGAGCCTCCAGCGTGCACGCGCAACCAAAGCACGGTGGAAGGCAACCAGTGCATAATGGAGGTCGCGGACATCCGGTATCACGTCTTTCGGTGGTGACATCGACCCCATCGTATGATTCTGCTACGCAACGCGTTTTTTTTTTTTTTTTTTTTTTTTTTTTTTAATATATATATATATTATATATTAATTTTGCAAAAACAGAAGATTTTTTTTTTTTTTTTTAATATTGAGCGTTTAGCTACGACTTTCTTTCCCGTCGGCGATACATATTACACAGAGTGGCACATCCTACCAAGATTTCCAGTAGAAGTTCTGTCTCCAGCATGCGCTCACTGCCTTCTGACGTGCTTTGGATGTGCATGCGCCGTAGTGCTATGCAAGGTAGAAGGCTCGCGATGGGGGCTGATGGCTTCTAATAGAAATTTTAAGTTCACTAAAAACTTGAATCACTCAGGCTATATTTTTTTTTTTTTAGATTATAATTTAGCAAAAGTCTGAGGACACCGAAGCACTTCTTATGAGTTGTGAATGCGAAAGCATGAATGTCATTCTTCCGCTTCTTTAGTTCGCCTGCGTCTAGTGGCGTGGACACCCCCGTTTCGCCGGCCGACGGCAGAGCACGCGTTTTCAAGAAGTGGCAGCGCCGTGCTGAGCTGAGCTTGGCCGTGCACCCTCTTCAAAGTTTGCCCGGGCGGGCTGTGCGGCCAGGCCAGCCAGGTGCCAGGCCCGCACTCCAGCGCCTCGCCGGGCCGCTGCATGCGCTGTGCGGCCAAGGAGAGGTGGCTTCTTTTGGAGCTACGCCACACGAGAGCCAATAGGAGCCTCATTCCTTGACGACGCGCACCAGCCAATGGGAGCCTATCCATCAGATTTTTGCTACAGACGACATTGGGACAGGGGAAGGCGCGGTTTGGCGCGGCTTCAAAGCTGATGACGTCGGCTCGGTCCACGGGGCAGTTAATGCTTTCGCATTAATAGCTAAATTCTGCTCCCCGCTTTTTTCTGGCAAATCCAAATGTCCAGGTGCAGCGGATGCTATGAGCCATCGGAGCCAATCCTAGGCCGTGTGAGTGTCGCGTGACCTTGAAAGGGGGTACAGCGAGGTATTACGAGCTACCTCTAGAGTGGGATTGGCTGGAGTAGCTCGTAGGCATCCGCTCCTCCCCGGAAGTGATGTCAGTCTTTGCAACGCATGTGGATGGCAAATCACCGAGAGTCGATCAGGGTCACGCGGCCACAGAAAAGTCGCACCCTCCTCTGCTTTCTCCACGAGCATGTAGTTTTCGACGCTCTTTTTTTGCGAGGTTCGGTATGGCGGGTACAAGACAGCCAAACTTCGCCAGAGAATAGCGCAGGGCAGAATCTAGTTGTCTCAATTTTAATAACTGTTATGGTATATTCTGACAACGGGCAAGAAATTCCTAATGGGAAGGTGCCAGCTAAAGCGAAGGTTTCGAAAGGCAATTAGTGAATTTTAGATAACCAATTTCCTAAGTATCACAGTCTACTGACGTACACCATGGTGGATAACGCTATCCCGTAGGAATCCTTTCTTTATTCCTAATGTTCTTTTCTTCATTATTTTCCACCTTTTATTTCACCACACAGAGAAAAAAATGACTTCAATGGTAAGCACTAGGGCTGAGCGTCGACTAAAAATTTCAACCGATTAATCAATGCCATGTAAATCGATTAATTAATGGATTAATCAGTTGCATTGACATCTAGGCATATAAGAAGAAGTTTCCAAACTACACCCTTTTTGTATTTCTTCCTATGTCATTCATTATGGAATGCGCAACCTCGTTTGAAGTCGGACGCTGTTTTCCAGTAAATAAACACAAAATAACACATGCAATTAATTTTAAGAATAAAATATTTTTAGAATATCTTTAAGCCTGATTATTACCTTGGATTACATAGGGAATGCTAAAGTACTTTACCGTAGAATACAGCAGTGCCATAGCTACGTTCTAAAATAAATAAATGTTCACCAAGTATAGTAAAGCCAGCATTTGTACTTGTCCCCCAAAATTTGTAATGTAATATACAACCGACTAATTGGTTTCAAAAATGTATTGCATTAGAGCATTAATCGAAAAGTTAGTCAATAAATTTTCCAGCCAAAGTAAAAACGACCTAGTTGGTGCGTGAGCGTCATAAAAACCGTAAACACTAGGGATCGCTTGTTCCTGTTGTAGCTTGTATACATTGTTCTACATTTATGAATAGACATATGCTCCATTAGCTATTTGATGAAGTCAATTGTAACAAATCCGTGGCACCACCTCACAATGTAGAGGGAGTTGAGTCATAATGGGACTGCTGAGTTTTTTTCTGCTTTTGGTAAATGAACAACAGGATGGAACTGAGGGTGCCCATATCCTCATCACCTCATACCTATTTTAATCATATCAATGTGAAATAATTGCTTTTTGTTAGCAAATTGATCCCATTAAATGCTCCTTTCTTTTCGAATTGGGAATACATTTTAGCGCTCAAAAAACAGGGACAAAGAGGCGAGAAACAGACAGCACAGTGCGCTTAGCGCACTGTGCTGTCTGTTTCTCGCCTTTTTGTCCCTGTTTTTTGAGCGCTAAAATGTATTCCAAATTCCAAAACCAACTAGCCCAACAATCGACTCTACTGAAATTTCTTTTCGAATTCATAAAACTGTCACACAATTGAGGAGGAAGAAGCCTGCTAATGGGAACGACTTGCTAACAAAAAGCGATCGTTTCACATTGAAACTGTTAAAATATGAGGTGTTGAGGATATGGACACCCTCATTGCCATCCTGTTGTTCATTTACCAAGGGTAGGAAAGGACTCAATCCCATTATGACTCAACTCCCTCTACACTTCGAGGTGGTGCCACATAATTGTTACAATAGACTTTTACAAATAGGTAATGGAGCATATGTTTATTCATAAATGTAAAACAATGTATACAAATTACAACAAGAACAAGCAATCTTTTGTATTTACTGGTTTTAGTAGAATTGCTTGCCTGAAAACTTCAGCAAGTTGCTTTCTGCCACCTCAGGCACATTTTTGTTTTGTCATCGTCGTATGTGTTTGTGTGCAATCACTTGATTATAGTTTTTGTGGTTAAAAAAGAAATCAATTATTTTTCAAGTTCTTTTTTGTTTAAGGTGCGCTTTTATGATTAAGTTGAGCCATGCTGTTTGTTGAATGTTTCCCTTTTGCAATAATGCCTAATGCCAATCTAGGTAAAAGAACAAGGAAAAGACAAAAGTCATGTAACAACTTGCTTTACAGATAATGTGTGTATTCAGCAAAATTACAAAAACAAAAAAACAAAAAAAACCAGCAGCTTTTTGTTTTATGGTGATTGTTTTGTTTTGGGCAACTGCATGGGAATAGAATGGCAGTGATGTTTTCAAAAAACTATTTCATTGATGATTTCAGAAGTTATTTTATTTATCTGTCAACAAAAATTATAAAATAAATCATAATTTCAAAAGAAACAGAATAACAAAGAAATTGAGAGGAAATTTACCTAGAGTAGTTGGTGTTCCCAGAATGTAGGTTCTTTTACCACACTTAGCAACTAGGTCCAATCAAATGATTGCACCAAGTTCGCATGTTACTATGCAAATCAAACATCAGGGCCACAGATGCAGCCAGCAGCAACAATCAGGCAGCCTGCAGGGTCTTCATTATAAAATCGCAGAAACATGCTGGATGTTTTATTTTTCGGGACAGTGCAACAATATGCCCCTGCCAGGGACTTAGTTTCTCGTGACACTGCAATAATATGCACAAGGAAAGGCCCACATTCTTTTATGGTGACTCAGTCTTATAAACAGAGACATCCATTAAGCACTAAACTGGCATAAAAATGACAAGAAAAAGGCAGTGTCTGTTTTCACGATTTCTCATAAAACAAAAAAAGTCACTTTGCAGATGATTCTTTCAACTTTCCCACCAGGACTTCGTTCTTTCGACATTCCTGCAAGAAATAGGTGTTGACATTAGAGTTATGAACATAATGTGTGAAAACTTAAAGACCGAAAAGGAAGTTTTTGTCGCAAAACCCTAGTATTTTTTTTTTCACAAGTGGCGATTTAGAAAGTTATCTACACAGCGTGAGTTGGCAGTGACCTTAGAAATGGCCATAAAAGCTGTCGACGGAACAAATGTTGTTAGCTGTTGTTTGAGACATTTGTCCTGACCCCCTTTTCCTATGTCTTCTTACACTTTTTCTTCCAAGTTTACCTCCCAGTCTCGGGATTTTAACATCACCATATCACCCCGCAGTAACAAACACATAGCACGCCACTCCCAATTACAAAATATTCCCAAAACCCACACTTCACAAAACCTGCAAAACATTGAGTCCGCTAAGAAAAAGTCATTTACAGTATCTGCAACATCAATCATCAAAAAGTAAATACTAGGATTGTGCAAATATTCACAATTTCGAATAGTACTTTCGAGTAATACACTATTCGATATTCGCTTCGAGAAGAACTGCACTATTTGCATTTTTCGAAGTGTTGATTGCCGTAAGTTAGGTTGAGCACGCTTCTTACCGAGCACCGGAGCACTGCGGAGAAGCAAAACCCACAGAAGCGAGCTTTGCGGGTGTTGCTTTTCTGCATTACACCAGTGTTTGGTAAAAAGTGCACTGAAGAGGGTAACCCGCCGCAATAAACACTTGGAAAAGTATGAATATCACAATAGCATGCTTCAAGAAAAGCATAGATTTCAAAGCGGGATGGTGCAAGCGTGCTGGCTGTATTTGAAAATTAATGAAAACTTTGTAAATGTGTGTATCTCCATCGTAGTAAAAGTTCCAACATTAAGCTGACTGTCATGCGAGACCATATGTCAGAAAGATATGCCTTTACAACCTGCGTTCATCCTGCGCAATTTTCTTTTTTTTTTTGAACTCAAGATTAAAGAAAGAATATTTTATATTCTTTCTTTATATTCTTTCTTCTCGATTGGGTATAGTTGCCCGTCTCTATAAGATTCATTTTATGTTGAATCCGTTGCTTACTTGCCATCCCAAGACATTAGACCTTTTGACGTCACAGTTCATGAATATAGATAGATTAAACTTAGCTTATAAATGAACAAGTGGAACAATTTTCACGAATTTCTCTGGGTTTTCGTCTAACCACGATGCGGTGGTAGTGAAAGGCGTGGAAAAACTATTCAATATCCGAATCGAAAATATTCGACCAAAACCACTATTCGCTTCGAATTCGCTTCGAACTCAAAATCCACTATTCGCACATGACTAGTAAATGCACAATAAAAAAAAAAAAAGAAGCTATATGGTAAGTTTGAGGCAGGTGCCAGCTGCTAATTTCCAATTGCCACATTCCTTATATGCAAAATACCGTCAAAGAATCTTTCAGTCCCATTAAGAATGACACCCTTGTCAAATACAGCTCCTTCCTTTTTAGAAGTTATTCAAGATCTGACAATTAGTCTACTTGATTCAAAGACGTCAACATTCAATTCACATTAACTCAAATCACTAAGATAACTATTTGTGCGTGCCTATACTCTACCCTGTTGTAGGTTAAGGAAAGCAGGACAAACTCCTCCCGCAAAGCTCTCGACTCTTTCCCCTTTAACGAGCAAACGTTGAACAGGAGGTGAAAAGCGGTAAGGAGAGAGCGTTTCCAGAGCAAACGCTTTCCAGCGTTCGCTCTGCAAAAGTGGGAGGAGTGGACGGCTTTGTGGGAGCAGCCGCTCCTGCTTTTCTTACTTACAACAGGGTATGGGTTCTCATGACAGCCCCTCGACACTTGCCGCTCCCCCAAGTAAGTTCCCCCAGCCCACCTCTTTGAACTCTTTGACGGTGCGGAAGTAGAGTCGCTGCTTGTCCACCAGCTCCAGGAACTGATCGTGCAGCCGATCGCGGGACATCTTGGCTTCCTGTCGCTTCTTCTCCACCTGGAACGACCGGGGGGTATCAGCGTCCGAGTGCGTTACAGCGCCGCAGCTCTGAGCATGTGGAGCGAAAGCTTGTGCTCTAGCACCCAGGGTTCTTGGGCTGGGTTGTTTTTATGTGCCAAACCAACAAAGGGTATCTGGCACACCCTAGCAAGAGTCCAAGGAATCACTTATATATACAGGGTTGTCGAGATAAAACCAAAAAATCCACCATAATTCAGAAAAACACACAGAGGAAAAGATAAAACAAATAGTGACCGTTTTCTGTGCTTTGCTCGGTCTGTTGTAACATCTTCCTGGCTGACAGACTATCTGAAAATCTTGGCAACGCCCTAAACTTGTGTCTTCTTGTAGCCATGCCATGCAACGATTTGCTTAGGCGACTTTCTGGTGCAAAATGATTTAAGTATTGCTGCCCTCCGGTCATATTCCCTGCTCATTTTCGAGCAAGACGCAAATTGCTTATTATGCGATGGTCCGCTGTCGAACCACGTGGATGCAGAAGCAGGATACGGCCGGTTAGCTTCACCGTACTGTTGAGAGACGAAATCTGGAAAACGTCCGGATTTATCTCGACGACCCTGTGTATACCGTATTTACTCGAGTAATAGCCGCACTATTTATGTACAAGGCCCTTGCACCTGCTTTCCCACAGAACACATATACAGCCAATCATTGCGTTGCGCATATATAACAATGAATAACCAGATCGAGAACGCGATTCTCCATACAAATGCAATCTTCACAGATGATATCTTCGCACGAAGACGTTATCTCTGTCCTGTAAACAGCTGGAATCATGCCGTCGATCACGGTGATTGGCAATCTGCGTGGTTTGCGGAAAAGCGAACCCCCAGGTTTTCTTCATAAACAGTGCGGCTATTACACAAGTAAATACGGTAGTACTTGGGTTGATATGACAAAGGCAATAAGCCTCCTAGATACTACTAGCACTTTGGTCGGGATGAGAACCCCCCAATGGAAGATCCATAGGCCTGTACTTTGCCTCGAAGTTAGTACACCAATAAGAACACCACCCACAACGAACTGCCACAATTAACAATCATTCAGCATACTTTTCCACTTCCACCCCAATCCTTTGCAGACTCCCTTTCAAGCATTTTATGAGTGTATGTTGAGAGATCTGTAGGTGCATACAGAACTTGCACACACAAGTTTGATACTATGCCAGGTAGTGAGTTACATAGACAGAGTCCTTACAAATCGAGGATAAAAAGTTTTAACATGCTGCAAATACTAAACTCTGGGAAGTTCAGCAGTCGCTGCAAAATACCACTATATTTACTCAAGTAATAGCCGCACTATTTATGAACAAGGCCCTTGCGTCTGCTTTACCACAGAGCACATATACAGCCAATCATCGCGTTGCGCAAAAATAACATATTGAATAACTAGATCAAGAACACGATTCTTCATACAAATGCAATCTTCATTGATGGTATCTTCGCATGAAGACATTATCTCTGTCCTGTAAACTGCTGGAATCATGCTGCCGATCACGGTGATTGGCAAGCCGAATGCTCCGTGGAGAAGCGAACCCTCAGGTTTTCTTCATAAACAGTGTGGCTATTACTCGAGTAAATTCGGTACTACATAATGAAAAGGTTGGGGAGGCAAAGGTTAATTCCCAATTTTCCCCTCCTTGTTCACATCCAGGGTCGAGTAAACTGGGTTTGCACCAAAGTGTCACCTTGAGCCGGTTCTGCTTGACTCCTTCCACAATGTGCTCAAACTGAGCAAGAAACTGGTCCCGTGTGGCAGGTGTGGTCATGGCCCTAGAAGAGGTGGTGGTAAGCTGTTATCACATCTCAGCTCATTGCCTTAAACTTTAATAGGCAAGCAAGCGTGGTCAAGGCATGGTATAGCTGCAGGCATTTTTTGCTGGTTCGTGTCATTCATCCGCTGTCTGTCCTGGTGCTATCATGTCTCAATGACATGACTACCAAATGTCACACTGATGACACCGACACTTTGCAGGCTGTGGAACTGATTTGCTCCCAATACCCAGCAAACTTCTTTGAAAGCAAACTGTTAAGAAAAAATAAATTTACAGTTTTCTTTTAACCACAACTGATAAGGGCAATACTTTCCCAATATTCATATGAGAACCAAGCACCTAGAGAAAACAGCAGAAAAATATGGCAGGAATTGTATCTGTTTGGCAGGGACCGGTGGTCAACCGAAGATCCTTAAAATTATTTTTATTAATCTGATTATTCACTTCGAAAAAACGACTCTTGATATTTCGAATTTTAACAATTAAATTTTCTCATATCAATTGCACATGCTTGACATATATTTTCTTTTGAGGCCAGACTTTAATAGGAAAAATACCACACTGAAACCCTGCGGCCACATTCCCAGATAAGATGTTCCTGCTCTCTAATTACAGTCCTGTTTAAAGGCAGTGGACCAATCCATATATCTCTTCATAATAGGTTGAGATCAATTGCCTCCAATGAAAACACCTCAGATAATAAAATGTTCTAGAAAATTCCTCAACATTGGTGAACCAATCCATGAAATCTCTGCAGAAGACCCACAATACGTGTGGCACAATACTCGTGTTTGAGATTGTCTTTTAATAGAAAAAACTCAATCTATGTTCCCTTCGCATCTTAGAAAACTAGGTAAGTTACAATCATGTGGGACCTTTTTTCTATTAAAACGTGACCAAACATTGCGTTACGCCGCTTTCTGGCATTATGTCCCAAAAAAAGGGACGAGTCGTAATGTTTGGTTGCGATTTTAACAGGGAACAAGTCATGCATAATGGTAACTTTGGGTTTCCTAAGATGCTTAGGCTGCATAGCGAGTTTGTGCCATAAAAATATGATCTCAATTACCACTTTAGTGCCCTTTTAAAGCAGAGAAATTGATCAGGAAACCACAGGAGAGGAACTTACTCGCTGAAGTTCTCCAGAATGGAGTTGAGCAGACCAATCTGCAAAAGAGAGAAAAAGAAACACACAAATGGACAAATACTAAAAGAAAAGCAACTTTTCTGTGCCTCAACAAGTTACACACAAAGATGCACCTCCCACAATCGGAAAAGTCCTGCGCCCTATAATAAAAAGCTAACTTGACAAACTCTTTTCTTTTGTGATTACAATTCTGAAAAATGGACAGCTTTATTCACAAGAAAACTACCAAACCAAGCTTTTATGCCTCTTTGGTCAGTGAGAGTTCGGCATTGGCAGACTTTTAGAATGTAGCAATCCTTGTGAAATGCTCGAACGCCCTCAAAAGAACTGCCCTGGTGTCTAGAAGGCCACCCTCAACCTCAATTAATAACGCTAGAATCAAATATACTATAAATGCCTTAATTTATGTGACAACCTAATTTTCAGCACAACTTGAAAAGTAGTATTGCAAAAAATTTCTCACATGAATAGATCGCCATATGATAAAGAATATGCTGCATACCACTCCCACTAGCCGAAGCCTGTACTCACAAAGTATTCCAAAAACCTATACTTTGCAAAATTTGCAAGATATTGAACCCACCAAAATAAAGTTGTTTGTTTAGTGTATACTAGTATGACATCATTCATATCTCCTTAGTGCCAATAAAAGCCATCCGCATTATAAGGGCCCTCTTATAACCTGGATGGCCTTCCTGTTATTGTAATCAAGCTCCCCGTCACCAGCTCGCACACACACCTGTGCTGGCCTTGTACAAACCTTCCAAAACATTGCTGGGAGTGGCACAACAAAATTTTAAAATAGAAGCCTTCAAAACAGTCAGTGGTTCTTTTAGTGGATCATAACTCTGAAGAGTCTTCAAAGAATACCCATGCATTGCTCTCATGTTAAATAATACTAGACTATCAATATACTAAGCAAGTGAAGAGCAAGATGAAAACAAAATATGTGAGTTAATTTTGCCCTTTAAAAAAGAACAGTATGAAATATAATACCTCAGCTAATGCTTTGGAAATGTGGCAATACAAGGCAGCTGTATCCGTGACGATTTGATACAAAAGTAAAAATTAAAACAAAATTATCCAAATGTGAGGCCAAGGCTTCATACAGCCAAAATTGAAACCCTCCCAGGGTTTCGTCTGCAAGAGTAAAATCACTGCTTTTGTAAGTTACAAGTCTCAGAGATTGCTATGGACGAGAGCACAATACAAAAATTCCGACAGTACCCGAGTGCCCACAGTTAGACTTCCTGGCCGTCCAGAGACTGTGAAGTTGTTCTCGAAGAGTTTTGGAACTCTGAGAAGTTGACTCGGACTTTTTCTCGAGGTGAGCCTTCTCTGTTCTTAAAACGGCTTCATAGGCAGCCGACACATAAAAGTCAAAGGACGTGGCCCAAAACATCACTGTGCCAAATATACGCACCTCTTTGTCTAGGTACATCCGGATGTCGTCCAGGGTATTGTAGAGGGTGTAGAACTGTTTTGTTTCCCTGTGTGTTGCGGCCACTGCAATAACAAAAAAAAAGATGTAGTGAGCTAGGACTGCTACGCTTAAAAAAACCTTTCAGAGGCCGAATCGAAGCAGGGTTTTCCCAACGGATTCACCACCATTTATGAAAGTATGTTTCTGACATTTCACTTCTGAATGTAAGCGGCGAAAACAACAAAAGTCAGACTGGTACAATATTTCTCCTAGTTGTGACCATCGTAAATGAAAAAAATGTTTCGCCCAAAACAAATTTTTTATGCAATATTTACATTGCCAGACGCACTTTGAGTTAGGACATAGGATTGTGAGAATACATTTGAATTTCCAAAAAGTAATTTTTAATAATAACCTATTTCTTTGAGAAGAGCTGGGATATTCATATTTTGAGAAGTGTTGATCCCGACGGGTTAGCTTTGTTCAGGTGCACTTCTTAACGAGCACTGGTGCACTGCGAGGAGGCGGGTGTTGCTTCTCCACAGTCCACCGCTGCTCGGTAAGAAGTGTGCTCAAGTGGGCTAACCCGCCACAATCAACACTTCGAAAATTAGGAATACTATAGTAACATGCTTAGGAGAAAAGCACACTTCCAAAGCGAGATGTCCATAGACACGCCTGGTGTATTTGAAAAGAAACAAAAACTCTGTGAATGTTGATGTTTACATTACAGTAAAATTTGCAAAATTGAACTGTGGTTATTATGCAGAGATGCCCCGACAGCCTGACAACAACAACAAAAAAAAAAACAATCATTCGTTTTTTTTTGTAGTTTTTTTATTCCAGGATTAGCTGACCAGCTCAAGCCCTGACAACCAGTCCCGACTGGTGAACAGAGCCAGACTGGCAGTGTGGAACCATGGCATCCTAGACTGAGGAAGCCACCCACCAGGGGACAACCTGAAGCTTTCGCCTGCTCAGAATGCAATAAATTTTATTTCTCCTCCCTCCAAATCGAAGAAAGGATATTTACATATAGCAAAAAGATTCTTAGATCCCCTCGATTAGGTCTAGCTGAACATCTCTGTAGGTTTATTTTAGGCAGTGATTATTTTGACGCCCTCCGTAAAAATATCTCAAAACTTACTTTTGATGTCTGTAATGATACTTCCGTAAAACGTCAAAATGGTGGTTTTATTATTTCAACGTCCCCTGTACATGCAGCCGTCGAAGTGGTAGCCGTTTTGTGGTTTCATGTTTCGTTCTGTTCAGTATCAGATGCTGTTGTTGACGTGTTGACAGAGTCGTGTGCTGCATGCCTCAAAGTTTTGGTCCTACTTGGTAGATGATATATCTTATTCAGCGTGTGTGTGGGACTAACTCTACAAGATGATCATTGTGAAAGGCCTGGTGGAGATGTTCTCAGCCCTCGCATGTCAGTTCGGCATATGCCTCACTTAAAATTTTGAATCCCCAACAAAGGTGAGTTGCGTACAATATGTAACACTGAGAAATTTCGCAGGCTTTTCGTACCTCCATATTGTACTAGCACGTCTTCGTATGGTTGCAAATTCTCGCCTTGCATCTGGCTCCTGCCCTGTTTTAACCGGGCTTCGTAAGTTGGCTTAGTTTAGATATCCATTTTGGCTCGTGTATAACGAGCGGGTCAACTATGAAATGTTTGGGATGTAAAATAAAAGGCTGTGAATGCAAACATTGCCTCTCTGATGTTTCTTGACTGGTGTGAACAAACAAAGGTTCCAACGTGTTGTACAGATACACGCATTTTCCGAAGGCAAATGTAGTCGAAACTGCAAAATTTATGACACGATTCAACTCCTTTGTCTACATAAAACATGTGAAATAAATCATGGAAAAAAAAAAGGAGCTGCAATCTGTAATGTTGGGCACAACCAAGCAAACATTATGAGCAACCATAGCTAATGTACTTTAGGCAGTTTTCTTTTTTTTTTACATTACGTAAAAGGTAATAAAAACTGCAGTCGACTGCACGACATTTGTTTTCAGAAAATGTGTGTTGAACTGCGATGCCGCCTGCAAGCAAGATGATATTTGTTCGACCGTCACTGTCGATCACTTTTCAGTTCAAACTCCAAAGTTCCAACTTTGAGAAGTCAAAATGAGGAAAAACAAATGTTGATGGGTGATGTCAAAATGATTCTGAAAATATTTTTATGTACGTCTTTGGGAAGTGGCGTCACGAACGTCAAAATAATATTTTTAATTATTTTGAAGGTGAACGTCGAAATAGTCACTGCCTTTATTTTTACGTCAAATGCATCATTTACTTTCCACCTGGATGTAGGCATTAGACTTTTTGAAGTCACAGTCATATAGTTAGATCAATGTTATTAACATAGCTTAGAAATGGACAAGTGGAAGCTTGGGAACAACCTGTCCCAATGAGATAGGATGGATTCTTCTTGTTCTCCACCCAATCTCAAGTTACTACAAACAAGCCCCAACTCTATTACTACAGGTATTGCTAAAAATACAGCCAAATTTGGCAGCACAATTGTACTGAGCTGGCTGAAGGTGTTCTCTCACCCTGGGTGTAGAGCTCAATGAACCGTCGCTGGTACTGGCTCAATTCAGCACGAGATGGGACTTCGTCTATCTTGCGTTGGGTGGCCGCAATCTCCCGATTCTTCTTTGCCTGCAAGCCAGACAACGAAGTGACTCATACGAGAACATATATCTGCCAAACACATTTGGATGAAATCACTGATTCAACACTAAAAACAATATTAATTATAATAATAATAACCTTCATTTAATGTGCCCCAAAACTACCACAATGGTCTTTTGTGTGGTGCACCTCCACGAGAACACTACAAGGAAGAAAACAAGATATATATGATCACAATGAAGACACACTAACACAAAAATAATACAAAATACAAAACTCAGAATGTGCCTCATGACATTGACTTTGCACTCAATTTATATTAGTTTCAGGAAAAGTTTATTTTACGATGTGTGTGCCCTATCCAAACGCACAAAAAAAAAACATTTTTGAGAGTTCAGTGCCTCTGGTCTAGCGGTTTATTTTATAACGCAAACCATTCTTGCAGTGCACGATTCCATGACAGCCGCCTGAACCCTCAGCCAGCAGAGTGACTCACCAGAAGCAGACGTATGCGCTGCAACCGGTCTCGGTCCCGCTGGCACTGTGCGTCCGCCTCCCTGTCCTCGGGATCCGCAGCAGGCAACGCGGTCCCTCCGTCGGCTCCACCTGGCGTGATGGCGGCCAAGTCTGCCTGCAGCCTCTCCATCTCCTGGTGGCAGTGCTGCCGGAAACGCGCCTCCTGGTCGGACAGCTCTCCGCCGAGCCGCAAGAGGGCACACAGGCGAGCCAGCTGCGGCTCTTGGTCGCCGACGCCCTCGGCGATGCGTCGGGTGGCCTCGCGGGCCTCCTGCAAGAGCACCTCTGCCTGCAAGAGGAACCGGGCTCTTAAAAAAAAGGCACAGCATTTAGAATGCCCTTGCTCATGTCCGCCCAGAACCAGTTTGTCGCACACATTATACGTCAGGCCGGACTGATATTGATGACTGAACTGCCGGATGGCTGCCGTGTAATGGCAGCTGACTTCCTGTCACTGCTCAGCCCGGCACTCGTTTTGCCACCATGTCTCTTGGTCCTTCCTCTTCACCCTGCTGCCCCCACCATTGTCACTGATGATGATGATGATTGCAAGTTTAGTGGCACAGGGGCAACTAGGGATATAGTGTGCCAAATGCAAGTTTTTCAAGAAGCATTAACGGTATCTGAGAAGTACCCTAGGCAGTTAAAAGTTACAGCTGGTGTAAATAGCCAACTTTATTTAAAAAGTCACAAACACGTTGGAATGGTACTAAAGGTTGGTCACCAGGTAAAAAATATAAATGGAATGGAAGGTGATCTCTAAAAGGTTCTGGGAACCAGGATTGGCACCGAGCAACTAGACCTCTGCACTGCCATAATATATGCAGGACAATTAGCACTTTCCCACAGTACTCAGAGTTTCACACCCTCACCACAAAGCAAGTAGAACAATTGAGTCGGACGGGAGTGCCCAATTCGTAAGCAACACAGGAGGACCTCAAAACGGCGTTGTCTATAAAAAGAACACTCCCACACCCCCAAGCCAGGCTTTATGGCATGAAGCTTGTCGGTTGGCATGTTCCAGTCCAACTGCCAGGAGTTAATAGTGCCCGCCGTCATCCCTTCCACGCCGCTTTGGTGGTACATGAAACCCGCAAGCAAGATCCCTCATCGTATGTGTAGCCTGCTTTGCGTGACGTCTCATGTTTCCCTGCTAAATTTAGCGAGAAAATTGATGTCATGCGACCTCAATCCAATTCAGTTTCACCGCTAAATTAGCAAGGAAAATGACGTCACATGGCTTCATGTCACGTGACCTATACAGAAATTTTGTTTCCCCGCAGTGGAAAAAATTTACGTCACATGACCTCAACTGCACTTCAGTTTCTCCGCTGAAAATATGTCACATGACTTCGTGTCACGTGAATTATACACAAATTCAGTTTCCCCGCTAAGCTTAGCCAAACAATTTATGTCACCTGACATAATGTCACATGACCCTAACATTTCCCGCTAGATTTAGCTGGAAAATTGGTGACACGCCACTCCCTATACTCTGTGGATACAGGCTGAGCTGATGGGGAAAGTCAATGGGTCAAAGAGTCAATGCGGTGGAAAGGAGTGAATGCGTGTCAATGGGGTGGAGAGGGGTGGAGAGACCTGGAGAAACAGCTCAAGAAAAAACGCCTGGAGGTTACAAGAGCTAAACCAAAAACGTTTTACGTAGCAGCACAATTGTAAAAAAATTTGCGATAAAGTTTTCATTTTTTTAACACGTGGGTACTTGTGTACTCTCGACAGATGTTATGTGAAAATGTCTTAGCCATTTGGTCCGCCTGGGCATTTTGAAATAAAAGCTAAGAGACAATCGCAAGCACTTTACTCTCGCTGTGTTATTCTGTGAAGTAGGCTCAGATCTTGAAGACGCCTTCTAAACACAGCCAGACGTTCCTGGAGGGTCTCTGCCGTGTCTCAATAACTTGAGAGCTTCTCTTGGCAAAAAAATTTTTTCTAAAACCCTTTCTTAGGAAGCTTTTACTTGGTACAGTTTGACGAGATGAATGAACAGGTGATTCAACCTTTGAACTCGGTCTAAAAACAACCAAGTTATGGGCATGTGATCAAAACGTAAAACACTCAGACTTACTCCACTAGGGACGAATATGCGTAAATGCCGATGCGCACACGCTTGCAGGTGATGATCTAGCACTTGCGTTTCCCGTGACAGAAGGAAGAAAGATTACCTCCTTCTGTCCACAACAACTTTTTAATAAACCCGGTTATCGGGAACTGATTTGGTGAAGCTTCCCCGAGGAACGTTAGAAACACCATCCTAAATGCCCGTGTCTCGTGTCTCCTCGAGACTCATGTCACGGGGCATGGGCGCTGGTCAGCCATGATGATTCGGCCAGCCTTTTTGCCACCACCTGCCGGGTTCTTCGGACCACCACACATGTTTTTGCCACATTGGTACCACAGATTTACTCCCATGTCATGGCCTAAGGTTGTTCACATAAAAAAAAGTGTAAGTAAGGCAAAGTTAAGTTAAATAAAGACGCAAAGGACCAGCACTCTACAGCATATTTCTTCCACTCATGCACACCTTTTCCGCTCTTTGTATTTGAGGACAATGCGATTGTGAACGACCCACAATGCTTCTTTTGACATGCCTTTCCGTTTTCAAAGATATAATTTACACTAGGGATGGAATGTGAAGTTTAGGTCCCTGAGTTATGTGATTAATTGAGAGATAATCAAGCGTACAGGGACTGCGGGCATAGCAAAAGTTAAGACTGAGTGCCGCAGTTTGTACTGTCTCAACTGCAGCAAAATATCAAAATCTGTCAACCCAAATTGAAGTGCATTTAACCTTTCTTTTTGCCTGTGAAAGTTGACAGAAACGTATAAAGTCGAATTACAAGCACCAACCTCTTTTCCTTCTTTCTGGCGAAGCTCATATTCCTCTCGCAGCTTCTCCAGCCGGTCTTGACTCTGCAGAGGAACAGGTTACTGAGAAAAGGATGGCTAATGATTTAGATTGTGTCCCTACTGATTTAAAAACAGGGAGAGATTAAAAAGAAACACACCTGAAAAAATAGTTAGTGTAAACCTGGTAAATTTACTAAATTATTTTTCCAAAGGAAAAAGCAAGAAACTGTGACTTCAATGCAAAAATTACTGAGGCTGTCTTACCAACACATCCAGATCTGGTGTAGACAAGTTTGTGTGGTCTGAGGTCAGTCTGACACAAGATAAGGTGTGTCCTTACCAAAGCAAGAAAAAAAAAGGTAATAAATTATTAAATACAAGCATTTTGGATTCCAGTAGCAGATAGCTATAGTGGCACTGAAATTAAGTTTTTGTGAAACCACCCCAGTGGTTGAGGCCACAAGCTGCCTGAAGGACAACTTGATAAGAGCAAGACTGAGGAAGTCTCACTATGACTAGGGAAGAGGGGGAAATCTGCGGAGAGTGGGACTAGGGAAGTTTCGCAGGCTAGGGAAGACGGAGAAATCTGGGAGAGTGGGACTAAGAAATAGGGTGCAGGGGAGAAGAAAACAATCGGACACATGAAAATAAAAATTAAAAGTATGTGGAACATAGCGGAACTCCGGGAATGAGAGCAGACATGAAATAAAGTGTAAAGTTAACATGATGGGGAAAACATGCATAAAGTCAACCAACTGGCCCAGTTCTCCACGTTATTGTAAAGTTAACCTCTAATCCTACAAATGTCTACCATGGCCTTAGCAAATACCTGCTGTAGCAGCTGCTGCTTGCTTTCGAGCTGCCGCTTGACAGAGCTCAAGAGTCGCTCGTGGCGGCTAGCACCGGGAATCTGGAGCATTGGCTGAAAAAGTTGGAAAAGTGTATTACAAGTAAATTCATAGTAAAATCTTAGATTTTAATAGAACAGAAAGTGAGCCTCTGACCAATCCTCGAAATGCAACTACTAATATTAATCTTTTTGTTGTTGAAAAAACAACACAGCTCTCTTGGAGGAATATCACATTGCAAATATTATGATGGATTCTAATTTTTAATAAGCTGGGAACCAAAGTTTCTCATACCCGTGTTAGTGGAATCAGCGGGGAGAGAGAGGTGCAGCAAGTCAAGACAGTTTGTTATTGTCACATTACCCTGCCTACATAAAAAAGAGTGACACATGATGCAGGCGACATTTGCATGTACCAGTTAAGACCTAAGTAGATCCCATGATCGTGTTTGCACCAAGTGGGTGCTTCTCCTCAATGAGGACACAGGATTAGCATTGTCCACTACAAACCAAGTTTCGATTTCAGTGTGTGATCATGTTTAAAGCTAATTTATATAAATAAAATCCTATCTTTCTGTGAAACAAATGATGCAAATCCCTGCAGATTGAGAACTTAACAGAACTGCCCAATCAAAGACAAAACCAAAGATAGAAGCTTCTTCGCAAGTGCCTAACTTAAAAGTGGCAATTACAAGGTATATAAAACTAATGTTATAAAATGACATGGTACAAACTATGAAGGGGACAAGTGAAGGTGCACACCTCTCCACTTTCTTGAGACCGAGGCTGCTCCTACATTATTTGAACTTGCAAACAAAAAACCAACAAAGAAGCAAACGAAGCAACTTACATGTCATAGTGCTTTGATTTTTGTGGTAAAATCACCATAACAAGTAAAAGAATCAAAAATAACCTTAGTAGAAGATTTAAAAAATTATTCAGGTTTACCAATCCTGTTGACTCAACTGATCAGAAGTACACACAAAACTACCGTAAAATACCAAAGAAGCGCCCACCCCACTGTCACTGAAAACTGGGTTAATATAGACATGGGTACTTGTCCGGTCAAATCGGTAAAAACCAAGATGGCAGCCAATAAAGAGCTTTGAAGGCAGGGTGAACGGAATCGGAGAAAGCACATTTATTTTCCCATGATATCCCCATCATCACCACTCGCAGTCTCGTGGTCACCACACCGGGGTGAATATTTTCAGCTGATGATGGCGCTGTGAAAGGGGTGTGCGCCTAACGTATTAATTTGCAGAATTCCCAACTTTGGGAAATGTCAACAGTGGGCGCTTGTATGAAATTGGTGCTTTGTACAAAATGGGCCTTCGCAGTGTATTACGGTATAACACTATACACATAGGCGAGAGCCTCAGAACTGTTTTGCAAGAAGTAATGAATCTATGAATGGTTCAGCCACTTTTCTGGGCTATTCAAAGCTGAAGACCTTTATTCTGGAACAAAGATTATCATATTTAGGAAATATTTAATAATATTTAAGCAGCACCAAACCACACATGTCATATTTTTTTTCAGTAAAAGCTGGTATTTCATCCTAAATACAGCAGGCAAATCATTTCCAAACAGCTGCCCGATTCTCGGTGCAAGTACTATAAGGCGGCCAACTTATCAACACTACCTTGCTTTCGTAGTCGCCTTTGATCTCGCGCATTTCTGCAGCCTGCATCTGCACCAGGTTCCCAACTGCCTTGCTGGTCAGTCTGCCCTAAAAAAAAGAACAAAAAGTCTGTACAAAAAAAAAAACTGTTCATACCAACAAAAAAAAAGAAAATGTATTTACACCAAGAATGTGCCATTAGTTCCACCTCTCCACATGATGTCAGCAACTTGTGAGAGTGCAGACAGAAACTGACCATACCAATGACTGCACCAAACAGAAATCTTCCTCACAAAATATACATCACTGTCCACATGCTCGTCTTAACCTCAGACACACCGCACAACACTGTGAACAAAAACGTGACATTGGTACTTTTTTTACATTTTGCTCGGACACAGGGCTGATGAGTACCCATTTATATTTCAATTCAATTTTATTTCCCACACGGTGTTGGGAGTTTCCAGGCGAAAAACTGTTGCAGACTTTTTGGGAGTGTCAGGAGGCCTGTGCAAGCAGCGCCGTTTGGCTAAATGTCCAGAATGGAAACAATGCCACAACAATTGTAATTCTTATTATAGTTGTTTTTTAAGGCAAAAAACAAATGCTTAAAGGTCACTTGTTCATGCTAACTGCACAGCACTCTGTACATCTTGCATAAAAAAGCTTAAGACAATCATTGCGCCTTTGTTGTTATCAAACAAAGACATTGTTTCAACCTTTATGGTCAACACCAACTTGAATTTTAAAATCTTGTATTTTCAGACAACTTTGAATATTTTTAAACTTTGCCATGGCAGACTAATCTATGTCGGCTGAATGTGCCTCCCTTATGACATGGGTGCACAGCAGAGAGGCGAAGCTCGTGATAGAGGTGTCACAGATGCCTTTTCTCTACAGCACATCAGAGTATACAAAGGTAAAGTACTTCTCCCAGGTGGGTTCATGCACACACATTTCTTTTTAAATAAATACCGGTACTCTAGGAAGCCACTACTCCACTGCAGATACTGTAAAGGTGTGTCAGAGATCCTCTCACACAGGAAACCGCTGTGCAAGTAATTAGGGCTGCGGGCGCAAAGGTGCAGCAAGTGTGGAAGCGCTACAGGCACAAAAGTGCCTCGGGCATGGTGTAAAGATGTCGCATATGCATGAAAGCGCTACGCATATGCCTATGCAACAAAAAACTGCGAGGATGTATGACCTGATGCTCGCAGATTCTCAAACAATGCTAACAAAGTTTGAATGCATGACTTGGTGACTGAGTCAAGCTTCCTTGGCAGTGAAGAGGCTAAGCGAAAAGGGAAGATACCTCCGCCGTTGCAAGGGGTACCATGTCACTCAGGAGCACTTCTGTTTCCTGCAAAAAAAAAAGAAATCATACCAACTGAAGGCAAGCATGACACTATGTCCCTAAAAGAGAGTGGGACACTGCACAGCAAATAGGGTGTATTCACTGACCACCGTATTCATGTGTGTTGACGTTAGGTAAGTGATAAAAGCAAGCTTTCAGCATGGTTATTGCATACCACCAAATGAGAAAGTAATGCTACCACTCAGATGGATACCATTACCTGGTTACCTGTCAGTTGCAGTTTTGGTCAGGGATAATGCAGGCACTGTGCTTGCCTTAGTTTTGTTCTTTTGTTTTGGTAATAACGATTTGGGCAGTGAATGCATCTATAGAGTATTGTATTTTTGAACATGATTATGTTTTGTTTTTGCAAATAACTTATGTATGCTTAAAAAAGCAACAAATACTTGAATTAAAATTTGATTCTTCACTTTACAGCTCGTTTTGATATTGACAAGTGCTACTGAACTGTAAACAGTGTCCAAATGACTATTATGTGGAAAAAAATCTCCTTTACTCTTCATTGACTACTCGGTAAAAAATCTTCCCTTGCAAGCTGTCAGTAGCATATAAATAACTTAAACATGATGGTTTCACCTGAGACTGGGACTTCATGAAGATTGACAAACACAAAAAAGTTTTGAGATTTCTGTGTCTGTGTAATCCTTCAGAAACCCGTCTCGGATAAAACCACATGTACAAAATTCCTCAGTTCGCTTGCACCCTCGTCTTTTGTTCATAAATACCTTGGTATCATTGTAAATATACCAAACCTCACATAGAATCTGCACATAAACTAGTCACATACCATCATAAAATTTGTTTTTTTAAAAAGAAAATTCTTCTACTAAATGCCAAAAACAAAATGGCATGCACCAACCACTGTGATTAGGCCGTTATTAGAACATGCCGACTGGGTAGGGATCTGTCTGTACATACATAAAGACATAAAATGACCAGAACTATTTCAGAAAAAGGCACTGCAATTTGTATACCACCACTAGTATGATGGGCTGGCTTTCGTTTCGAATGTGTACAAATTTGCAAATGCAGCTGCACTTATAACTCCCAGAAAAATGAGCTCCCTCACATTTGCGTGTAATATTATCAATGCTGGCATCCAACTTAAATTCCAAAATCACACACAATACATAAGTTCCTAAGACATATGAAACAAACATGAAAATACCGCAACAGTGCCAGAGTGAAGGGAATTCCTTTATATACTATTCCTTTCTATCTAGCACCATTAAAGAATGGAATATTAGACTACTGTTAAATGTCGTCACACAGTCATTAACTCTAGCTTTTGTCGCGACACTCACAAAACATCTGTCACCATTAAAAAGTGTCACAGCGGTGTGATTTAACTTCAGTTCAAACAGTTCAACTTAGTGCAGTGTGCTGTTTTGCTTTTCTATCAAGCTGCTCATAATAGAGGGCACATTATATTTAGTGTAATTGTATTTTAACTGTTTAACGTTAACTATGTTTTTTCTTCTCCATATGCTTCATATAAAGTAAAGCAATGTTCATCCTTGGCAAGGGCATTGTTATTGCAGCAGGCAATTACTCTTGTGGAAAAAGAAAAATGTAATCCAACAAAGTTCTTAACACATTGTAAGTTACTTAATGTTAGGGGACTCAAGCAATGTTTACTCTGTTTGAAAGACAATGCGTTGGTAAAAAAAGCCCTGGACAAAAAGTTTTTTTTTTCATTTGAAAAGAACAACAAGAAAATGTTTTAGAATGAAAGTTGCCTTTGATATACTATTCCATCAATATCTGAGGAGTAAAGCATAAAACTGGTGTCTGAAAATTACAATTTATTATCACGGGGGTGGAGCAGAGAAACCATAAGAAGCATTATCTCTCTCATCACAACCGCTCAGGGATGAAAAAAGGCAAGTTCGGAGAGACTGCCAGCTTCATAATATGGTATTGCAATCACATTTGCACTCCATGTTGGGTGAAATTTAAATGACAGGAGTACAACTGTGCAAACTGCCTCAATATAGTTATTAAAAACTTCCAAGCACCAAACAAGCCCTTTTATAGGGACCTACGCTTTGAAGCCAATTCGGCCTCTTCTTCAGGGGCGACTACGGCTATGGCTGCTGAGGAGCAGTGTAGCCTCAATGTAGGTATTGATCAATGACAGACATTCTTTGGCCTAATGTGGCTTTTGAAACAATAGAGGGAAAGGGCATAAAGAGCTGGCTTCTATCTTTCATGTGCTGCACGACTAGAAGTGTTCATACCCCACAAAATGGAGGAAAAATATCTATATAATTTTCTTTTTTAAGTTAGGTCAAATTAAAATTTGTTGGAGAAATGTCTGGACACTGAGAAATCGGCCTGCTTTAAAATGGCAGCTTATATCATCGTTGGGAAGTGGTTGTGTCACCAGTGCAAAACCGCTGACAATCTGGGTTCTTAATTTGTACATACATCACACAGTGACAATTAATTTCTTCCTCTTTTGGGAAAACGAACAAGAAATTGAGCTCAAATGATTTTAGTTTGCTTAAATAAATCTCTTTGAATAGATTAACCCTCCTACAGACATTTTCTATGTGGCTGCCGCCATCTTGAATAGTGGCAGAACTACCGGTATGTAGGAAAGCATTGTTTATTTTTTACTTTTTCCAGGTTGTAATGTCTCGCTTTTTTTCATCCTGCATACCGGATATGTGAACAACATACCTGGAGATGAAGGAAACCAGAAAAGATTTATAAGATACATTGCAATTCTTTCCTTTCTTCATGCACACTCACACCTTTTAACAACAACTCTTGATAATCTCTTTTTTTTTTTTAATTGCAATGGTTTTTTTTGATTTAGGAGTAAAAACACCCCAAGACTGGGAAAAAGAAAGGACGACAGATCGGTGCTTAGCTCTAAGCAGATCCAAAAATAAGTATGCATTATGGATTCCCAGATATAAGAGGACATCCAATTTTACCAGAATTACTCTGTCTTATTTTAATAACTTTTAGTTCTTAATAACTATATTGAGGCACTTTGCAGAATTTTACTCCTGTCACTTAAATTTCATCCAAACATGGAGTGAAAATGTGATTGCAATACTATATTATGAAGCTGTCTTATCGAGCAAAACTGGGCGTTATTGAAAGCTCGCGCTGCAGGACCCGGAGATCCTGGGTTCAATCCCCGCTTTCGCTTGTTTTCATTTGAATGAGCATCGTATCAGCACGCAGCTGTGTATCGCTACTGCGTGAAGTGTGTTAAAAACCCCAGGCCAGCAGTCATACTGCACGGCTAAATTTCTCACCTACGGCGGAGAGGTGTGAGACAACACCCATTGGGGCTGACTAATTTCTTGCTCTTTAAACATACTGACACAATTACAAACAAAGGGGAGGGGGTGGCACCAATATCAAGGGTGTCTATAAATATGCAAAACTGTATTGTTAGCTAGTAGGTATGTCCTCGCTTAGCAAGCAACGACACAAGCGAACAACCAGAGCCACACCTGCCGGGCGTCAGCCCCTGCATCGCCAGCTGCCGTTGGCCGCCGCATCATTCCGGTGCCATACTCCAGCAAAGTGGCTTCCACTTGAAGTTCCTCGCTGCGCAGCGTGTGCCTCGCATGGTGCCGGTAGCGACGCCTCGGACGGTACCGCTCCTGTTGTGCCAAAGGAAGTGGACAAGCTTAACAGAAAAAATGCACTGAGCCCTTTGTCAGAGAAAGCCAGAATGCTATCACAGAGCCAAGCCAGCTGCTTCGACACGCCGCCTAATAAACTGCACGTGTTGAGGATGAGGGGTTAATATTTAAGGGGTATGCAGCCCCTCAACACATACTTGTAGAAATTCAAATGAAGTTTAATAGATCTGTGCACTTTAAGGAGCTATGTACATAGGCGAAGACCACGGGGGGGCATCAGGGCTCGTGCCCCCTCTGGTGAGACCCGTGGGGGGGGGGGGGGGGGGGCAGAGCTTCCCTCGGGCCATGATCCTTACCGGGATGCTGTTTATGTGCCAAGTAACGAGCTTCTAGTAGTGGCACGTAAACGAAATAACGCCCACGTTGTTTTTATTGACAAAATAGATGGGAAATGGAATCCCAGCGTGCTTTCGTTAGCTTCAATCTCCAGTTCTGGCGAGAAGATAACGCGGCGTCGATCACTTTTACGTCCGCTTGGTCTGCTTCCACAGCAGCCTGCCATTTTGCGATGTCCCACCAGAAAAAAAAAGATAAACAAAGCAACCGGAAGTTCATATAGAGGGCGCCTACTCCATCCAAAGTTGTACCAAAAGTCCGTTTAGTAGCGACTCCATCGGAGTCGCTACTAAAGATTTCAGATTTGTGCTCGCTGGCGCATGCGCCATGGTACCGGCGATGAACACACGCCTACGCTTGCGCGGTGATTGACATGGACACACAGCGACGGACACATGGTGATATACATACGCTGTAAAATGTACCCCCTAAAATAAACTACTGATAATTGCCGGTGAAAAAAAAAAATTGCACAAAAAAGCCCCCCCCTTCCCCCCAAGAACTTCTCATCATGCCCCCCCCCCCCTCCGGTTACTGAGAATGCCCCGTGGTTTCAAAAATCGACCAAAAAAGGTACTTGAAGAGCAGCGTAGGCTGTGGGAAATCCGGGGTACAGCGATGTCTTGGACGCAGCATTCGTCTGCAACATAAAAACATCTATCAAAACTAGGGTATCCATGTCATTTATTGGATAATCCGAAAAAAAAACAAAAAACCTGTACCATAGTTAGAATTAAATTAAAAAATAGGCTCATGTTGATAGACAAAAATAAAACAGCTAAAATTTATTAGGTGCATAATGATAAGCGACATTTAAAAGAAACCAATAGATTACCCTGGCGCTTCATGAGCGATGTCTCTATGGTGGTAGTAAGAACAAGAAAGGGCAGTTCAAAAATTGCTTTAAAATATTTCTCTACACAAAACATAGTACTGCCTAGCCTCATTAACCTTATCAATTAACACCAAATAAGAAAAATAAGACTGCCTATTATTTTTTAGATTGTTCCTCTGTAACTTTTTATCTGAAAGATCTCACTTTCCGTAGGACATAGATCATACAAGTGCAATCAAGATTCTCACCTGAGGTGCGTCGCCATGCACTTTCTCGAAAAGGTACACTGCATATTCCCTGTGGATGTCTTCCGTCTCAGCCTTGGTTTCTATGGCCTTCTTCACGAGCCACTGCGCGAGTTAAAAAAAAAACACATGCAAAAGAAATTTCACCTTAACCTTTCCTACAACTTTTGTTGACCCCTAATCCCCCCTTTTTATTATTTTTTTTACAGCGTACATCAGTTTATAACACCAGACAACTTATTACGGCTATGTCATCTGTGCAAACCTGACACAATAAAAATTTGTTTTGTTTTTTGCAAGCGCACATGGATACCACAGACGGAAATTAAATCCCAATAGCAATAGGTGTGGAGTTTTTTTACATCAATAGAAGTAGGCTGACACACAGACATAAAAAAAAGTATTTTATGATTTTATTTAACCTATGCACAGATTCTGGAAAACTGAGCAATCCTTTGTCGTCAGCAAAAATGCAATGAGAGAAGGGCCTTGCATGTATAATCTTGTATCCCCCCAAAAAATTAAAAGAAAATGAGTGGGGGTTGCCTCTCTGTAATAAATGTTTTCAGTCAATTTCAGCTCTGCCCATGACAAAGCGTCCATTGTGCTCTTTACTGTCTGCGAATAATTTTTTTTATTTCTATTTCATTGTTGCCACAAAAGGGCTCTGCCAAGGTAGGAATGGCAAAGCATGTTTTATGGTCGCACCATTTCTAGAAGGCAAGCACACTACATTTGCCAGCCCTGCTGTTGTGCGTGAGCTCTGATCCTGCCAATTTCGGCTCACATTTGTTGTAAACAGCTAAAGTTACATGCTCCCAGTGAGGGTTAGACAGGCAGCCAAACAGTACTCCTCGATCTTGCTCAACACCATGGCATCACTTCTGAAGTACATCTGTTCGCCAATGACTGTGTCATCTATAGACCAATTCATCCACGCCACAATCAACTAATGTTGCAGAACGATCTCCAACTTATAATTCAGTGGTGTCATAAATGGCAAATGACTTTAAACTACAATAAACGTTAATCGCTATATTTTTCCCGCAGTTCACATGTTCTATCCTCCTCATACCACCTTTCTAGCGTCTCACTAACTGCTCGTTCATCGTATAAATATCTAGGAATTCATATGAAATCTGACATGTCATGGACCACTGACATAACATCTGTCATCGCCGATGCTAACTGCACTCTCAGATTTCTTCGCTGTAACCTCAGACAAGCTACATCCCCAGTAAAACAACTAGCTTATACTACCTTGGTCAGAACTAAACTAGAATTTGCTTCTTCCATGTGGTCACCGTGGCCGGCATACCTAACAACCTGGAGTCCATTCAAAGCAGAGCCCTCCATTTTATTTATTCCGACTCTTCTCCTTACGCAAGCATATCAGGATTTCGCCAATCAGCTAACCTTGACACTCTTTCTCACCGCCGCAGGGTGTCTCGTCTTTCTCTTCTTCATCGGATCTTTTATTACAACAGTCATCTCAGACGAAGTTTGCTATCGCCTCCTTACCGCACTTTCCCTCGTCTCGACCATTCTTGTAAACTCTGTACGATTTCAACATCAACCGTCACTCACCAAATGCCTACTTTACCATTAGCCATTGATGACTGGAACTCACTGCCTGACGTAATTGTTTCCTTGCCCGACACTAAGAAATTTTCTGCAGTCATTAGCTTATTTTTTCTAACCTATAACTAGACTGCAGCGTGTTCTTGTTGGTAAATAGTTGTTATTTGTTCGTTTTTTGAAGTGTTCACTCCCTTGAATATTTCCCCCCGGGCCTTCAAGGAATAATAAATGATGATGATCATGAACTGTCGATTACTAGGGGGTGTGTCACTTGACAATTCAGAATTTCTCTTAATGAAACATTAAATTCCTTAAAAGTAATTTTTATTTTAAATGCCTAAATAATTTACATGTAAAAAAAAATTCCACGAAAAAAAAAATTTAAGTAGTGCAATATTTACATTTCAAAACTCTTTTGAGAGATTCTGTAACGTGCCTAAATTTTGAGAACACCGACTCCAAACAAGTCTCGTGACATAAAGATTGTGCCACAATTTTTTTTTTTTTTGTGTGTAGAACATTTAGTTTGTTCAGGAAGTTAAAAGAAGTTATTCTTGAGCATTCTATGTTCCTTTAATGCAGAAAAGTTCTTGCAAAGGGACCTTAGGTATATTTAAAGAGACACTGACAACCCCCAAAATTTTTGTGGTATTTTTTTTGCCAGCCAGTTTATTATGGTGTCAAGACCAACCAATCAATATTTTGCTACAGCGTAACATATATTTTTAATAAAGTAAAAAAATGCAACTGCCTGAAACTGAAACTGTACTGGGGAGGAAGAAGAAATATAGAGAAGGAGGGAGTTGACAAAAGTCACGTGGCTGTGAAACTTTCTTTCTTCAATCAACGCTATTGGCGGCTTTTTAGAAGCCACAAAAAATGGGTATCATATTTCTTTTCTATTTTTGATATTAAGTGTGTGCCTTCGATGACCCACGACTTTGATTATATTTGGTGGTTCTGTCTAAACCAAAGAAAACGGCACGTGACCAAGGAGAAGGGATGAGCGCGACTCAAACCGGCCAGTTCTTGATCAGCGGTTTTTGGGAGGAAAGAAAACGAATTTCGAGCCGCCGGTTGTGATCTGGGTAGTGGGGCTCTCATACATCATGTACAAATACAAATCTTAGCGAGCATAAATACCCTGTCAGTGTCCCTTGTTGTTGCATTAACTCTCACCTGCACCACCGGGAAAATGTGCTCAAAGTCCAGTCCCTGTATCTGGTGGGGCTCGATGCGGTGAGGGCACTTCATTTTCGGAAGCACCCTCACAATCTTCTCTGTCAGGGCTCTGCGACATGAGAGGACTAGGTTGATGTCCAACCATCACACCAGAAGTGCTGAAAGCAAATTCAGTGGGGCAACTCGCCTACCGAGTGAGAATATAAAAACAGCAAACTCCTACTAAACTCACTTAACCCTAATTTTTGGATGTGCCAAATAAATTGGGAATATTTGGTCAGTCTCCCATAGATGCAATGCAAAAAAGATATTTGTTTAACAGTAACAACTAGCACACGCTTTGGTCAAGTGAAACTTGTGCAGCGTCCCGGCGTCTTCCCAACTAAACATCAGATAGGCCGAACAAGTTTTCAAACCCTCTATGGGAGTCAACTAAACATTCACTCCGGTCATCGAAGCTTAGGAGCAATGTCAACATCACAGACGCTTTACAAAAAAGGAAAGGCTTCAAAATTGACTGAGGTGAAAGCCTGTTGGTCGTTGCATAGCAGCCACTATACCGTGGACCCAGTAATGCAAGGTGAATGTTCTAGCATGAAATTTTCAAATAAAACAAATGGTTGCTATACTTTGTTCCACCTTAAGATGGACTGCAGTGTAGGGTAGAAGCTCAAGCTCACAGCTCCATAATCCGTTTCACGATAACTTGGCGAACTGTGGAGGCTGCGGCCCCCACAACCCAATAAGAGTATTGGAGCAAAGCATGTGACAGCACTCCATGGTCGAAGCCACGGAGGCCTCGTTACCACCACAGCAACAATGGAGTCCACGACAAAAAGTAGTTCTAGGCTTCTTTTTTTTTTATTAAGTGTTGCTGCCAGGCTCTTTTGACCGCAACACTACACGGCTTGAAAGAAAGACAAAGACATGTTACTTTTCAACGATACTTAATACGGATCAACACTTTTCCGAGAAGAACATGGTTTTTGAAAGATGTTTGAACGATCACAGCGGTGTGATCAATTGCTTCCGCTCGAAAAATTCCCCCGGCATTAGCACCCGCCTCAGAGTCGCAGGTAAATTGAGCGTATTGTTGCCTCATGAACCGTTTCCAAAGAGCTCGCTACTCTAGCGGTCGGCAATGTTGCAGCGGTGGACGTTCATCCCAAGTTGGTTGGTTTCGCAGCAGACGACTCTCGGCCAGCAGATGAGAGATGGTTTTTCCGGGCCTCGTATTTGGCGTAGTGGCGCGAACGCTCCCGTAACGTCGCGTCATGTGCCTTGCTATTGGCCTCGAGATCGACCTAGAGGTGGCGCTATAATCGCGCTATCATCATCATCAAAGCGGGGATAGGAGAACGGCCGCCCCATAGGCTCTCCACGTTCGCGCGCGAGACAGCGTAGATTCTTATGTTTATTTTGTCACATACTATCAGTGGGAAAACAATTCTCGCAGAAAAGGATGCGATAGTGTTTGGTGCTTCAGTGAAGATTGAATCGTGTTGCCAGCGTGCGGCCTAAATTTATATAATTGCTTCACTGGGTGCGTTGTCTGCTCTTGGCAGACGTTGGAAAGCATGGGTCACCACGACTGATGCCTGTCTCCAGCTGAACTGGAATATTTATGTTAAATATTTGTTTCTTTTAAAATGGATGTATCGGTTCATCAACATGGGAATTGAAAAAGAAAACAATAAATTCCAACCCAGATAACATAATACTGGCACTGTGGGCTGTGAAGTCGCAGCTTCTATGTTTTTGTGTTTCTTTTTTTTTTTTTTTTTTAACTTTTAGCTTTTGCAGTAATATAAATATTTAGAATGAAGATAAGTTAGCGCTGTATTGAAAATTGCCATGCTATTGAGTTCCTCTGCCGTTTTACTGTGCCATAGTCTGGGTAAGTTTTTTTGTTGTCTGAACAAATCTACTGCGCTGCGATGAGGAGAGTGTCTCTTTTCTAGTTAAGATCTGCAAACTGCACAGTTGGCAGGACAACTGAAACAAGTGAAACAAACTCTTCTAATATATCTGCCGTGACTGTAATAAACGAGTGTAACCGAGCAAAGCAGCAATGTTCCTGTTATTAATTCTCGGTAGTGTGGGTTCACCCGCTTCAATTTTCTTGGTGAGGGCCGCGGATGTCAAGAGGCTAATACACTATAAATTTCTGGCTAAATAATCTTGTATTCGAACACAGTAGACCCTGCAACCTCAACAAACGATGCGCACCATGACAGACGGTAGCGGCCACAGTGATACTCTTTTACTGATGAGGGCTAGCGACCTTCACAAGACTTTCCGAGACTGGGCAGTTCATCAATTAACTTTCAGATTATTCAAGTAATGCTTTAATTGTAATTTTTCTTGCCGGTTAATTGGAGTCTTGTGCTGGAGAAAGACAACCAAGAGTAAAAAATACCTGCTTTAATATTTTTGACGTCTTTATTTCCTTTGTGACACTAGCTTGCATGGTAAACCACTTCAGCGGGCTTGTCATTTCACCGAGGGTGATTATACTGTTTGAATGATAACTTTAAAAAATACTTCATTTTAAAGGGCTGCCCGGGTTCATATTTATGTAGGACTCACAACGTGAAGTTTCGAATGGGAATGGAATATGCCATTTACGACATAGTAAACACAGTAAAAAAATGTGTAGTTTTAGTGTCTATCTTGCAATATGACCGGCGAAAAATCAACATACGGATTTATTGATTAATTAGTCTATTAAAGGAGAGCGACCAGTCAGGTTAATTTTCTAATCAAACCACAGACCCACTCAACATTCAATGCTTTATAAAAGCCACGGTTTGTGCGAGATAACAAAAATATGTGGGACTGGCGATTGTATACAAACACCCTACAATTATGGAAGCTTCCGACTTAATAATAATTGCTTTGCTGAATTTCTACACATGGGAAACGATAAAACACAACCTTTAGTAAGAAGAAACAACAACAAAAACATAAAACATTTAATAAGGAATGTCAAGCTCAGCCTGAAACGGGCTTGCATTGTCGAGATTGATGCTTCTGAGCGTGCGCCCGTAGCAGACGACGCACGGCGGTATCCCCACTTTCGCGCGTTTCCAATTTCGGCCGCATGGTGGCACACGATTCAATCTTGAGGCGAATAACGAAAATCCGCTTCATTCATACATAGCCCATAGTAGATTATGCTTAAGCATATATGTGGTGATTATCGAGACTGGTCGTGGCAGCCCCGATTATTGGACACAGGGGCCATAGGCTCCACAGTTCACCAAGTTATCATGAAATGGAGTATAGCAGTAGCTCCTGCGAGAGTTTGTGCGGCCAAGATGCACACTTGAGCAAAGAGTTCATGCTAAAGGCCTTTATCACGGTACATCTTGTAGGAAAACAGGGTACATCTAGTAGGCAAACAGGGTACATCTAGTAGGCAAACAGGGTACATCTAGTAGGCAAACAGAGTATACTTTGCCGTCATGCATGCTGATCGCCGAGCCCCTGCTGTTGGTGTACCTTCTAACCCTGAGTAACAGCTAGCCCACCCCCTCAGTTTGTCATGGCATAAATAGTAATACATTTGGTCACCCGCAGTTAGGACAGGTTGTGGATTTAACCAATCTAAGGTCATTCAAGACACAGAATACTCACATTTTTTGTCCAATGTTCAAATTTTCGTTGAAAGGTAGATCAACATCAATGTCCACTGCACAAAGTTCGATACCCCACGCAAGGCCACCCACAATCTGCAATGTCCATGCGAGTTTACAAATCAAAGCTGCAGGCACCATAACGTGTTCCAGTGCACGCAATAAAGCGGCAAAGGTGGACAAACATAGAACGCACCTTGTCAAAAGGTGAAAGCCCCTTGATTCTGGCACGGAAATAGCCGGCTGCCACCAGCAATTCACTGATCTCTTGCATTTTGGTGCTCTGGTCACCATGTTGATGCACCTGTGAGCAAAGTGAAATTGGTACTTTAAGCTGCTCATACAATATATCACAACAGTCCATATCAAGGGTTCACTGCAGCATAACAGGGGTCGAAGGTGCGGGAGAGCGCTAATCTAGAGCATCACAGAAGTTGATATGGAGTTTCAAGAGCCACAGCCGTACGGCCTATACTCCGTTTCACCTTATATTGTACCGCAGCGAAGGCTAGAAGCGCGAGCTCATAGCGTTGGCGGCTGCCCTTGGTGCACGAGAGCTCGTGCCGCCGAGATGTGCCCTAGAGCAGGGAGCTCGCGATTGTAGCCTTTCCTGCGGTACAACACCAGGTGAAACAGAGTATACTGCCGTACGGCTGCGGTCTTGTGAGCACCTTGCATGGTGCCACACTGCCACCTTGTTTAAGCACTGGTGCCACCTGCAATTTGATCACAACTTGATCACAGATATGATCAAGTTGTGCTCGAGTGTCACCAACCCCGACGACAAAGGGCAAGTTTACGAACAAGCAATGGACTTGGAAGGTAATAGCAACAAAACTGGCTGTGTCGCGGTTTCTTTTTTTTTTTTTTTAATATTTAGCGGGATTAGGTTGTAAACGGGAGTGCTTGAAAACGGCATGCAGAGTCTTTCTGTTGGTTCTATATTTCCTAGACGAACTCTCAGCCTTCGGTGGTGCTTCGATTGGAAGCCGCCAGATATTTGAGTATGCGTGCACGTGCGGGTAAAGCGCTGCCGAGGTAGTTCAGCTCGCGCCGGAAGCCGTTTCTTGATATTATACCTTTAGAAATAAGGTTTTAAATGCAACAATTTGAGTACAAGAGCGTGTAGTGGCGTTACAAACTAGGGACGTAAACGGTGCGGTTGTGCAGAAAATTTAACCACCTCTTTGAATACGGTGTCCATGGTCTGTCGATGTCGGCTCGTCACTCTCAACTGCTCACTTTTTTTCTCAATTAAAACGAAAACACGCTAACACAAGCCAGTAACACAGTTCAGAAGCCTGTAGTACCGGCGGTACCGTGAGTGCCGTGAGTCGTGACACCTTGCGTGACACGCCTCCCCTGCAGGACAGAGGAAGCGCCACACATACACCATTGAGAGCAACCTTCTAAAATGAAAAGTTTCAGAATTATGGTCATCGTAATTCTTTAATAAGAAATTCCGATTAAAAAAAAAAGGGTAATCACCAAACTTTACATCGTGACTAGGCGCTTCTCAAAACTAGGTCAGCAAAGTGTCGAAACGGCGAGGGCGGCGAACTGGCGGCGAACGACAAGGCGAGAGACGCAGATCAATCACCTGAAAACTTCTCAGCGTCCTTCACCAACTATTCAACTCTAGTCACTCTGGAGTCCAAACTTATATAATCAAAAAATTTTATTAAAATAATATAAAATTAGTTATTTTAAATAATTATTATATAACTTTATCAGCTTATTTTAGAACTAGTTTAGGGCAAGTTTAATACATTTTGCACGTCTTAATGTAATTTTTAAGCGCTTGACGTAGCAAATTTCGCCCAGTCAGGGTGGTGGAGGCGAATCAAGCGCTCCGCAGAATGAGGCGACGCGGACACGCGGAGTCAGTCAGGTCATGTGCGCAACCCGCGCTGACGGCATTCGCGGAGCCATCGCATGAGCCTGGCGCCTTTCGCTGATTGGACGGCGCGCTATCGTCTGTTATTGCGCTCCGCTTCTCTATTCATCACCCGACGGGTAAAAAGTGAAACATCAACAATCCGAGCGATGCCCTGCAACGTGCTCTCGGTGCTGTCGTCGGTCCCGATAAGGACGTATTAAGAGCCCAACAGCTCAGAGGAGTTCCCCCAGACCAAAGGTAAAGTCGATATCGGCCACAACGGTACATAACTCACTGCGTCTTTTCTTATTCCCGTGTTCGCGCTGTCCGCGATACCGAACAAGCTCTCGTACGCTGCATCTTTGGCCCTTTTTTAGTCACTTGAAAGCCATCCGCCTATCAAAGGTAACTCGAAATTTGGTTCGTAGTAAAAAAAGGAGCACGTAGAAACGGCGATCGTTTGAGGTTGCTGTTCTCTTTGGCCGAACGTCGTACCCCTTCAAAAGAGGTTACGACGGATCCAGCGGAACGCGATTGTAGCAGCATGTTTCAAGCACCCACACAGGAACCAAAATAACTTCCGTGCGCGGTTTTGGAGCTTCCTGTCTTTCGAGCGGGATCCATAACCCGTTTTCGTCGCACTGAAAATATCCGAGTTCTTAAAATAAAATGTTTTTCATCCCTTGTTTTCAGGCCGTGAAAACTACAGTAGCTGTTGCTGCACAAACCGCAATAATGCTGCCGACAAAGGGACTTCTGTGGAGAGTGGCCTTCCTTTTCCTGGTCGGCGTGTTCTTCAGCCTGATGCTCGACTTCTTCCAAATCCAGTACCGCCTCTCCGCGTTCGAGCGCAACCTCATCGGATCCATGTTCATGTCCTCTCCTTGGTGGGTTCCTGCCATATGTGGGACTGCGGCGGGTAAGTCCTCCTTGGCTCGCTGCTACTTTTCGCGACGTTGGAACTGTTTCACGTTTATCCCATCGGCAGATATCGAGCTATGAAAGACGTTGTTTACGTTAAAGTTCATACCTTTTTTTTCTCTTTTTCGAAGTACTTGATGATTTTTCTTTTATTTTTCATTACCACCTCTAACAGGAAATCACATTTTTAAAAAGGACTGGATGTACCATCGGGTTCAAATGAAATTCGAACAGTGACAGAAGTTCGAGCCCACTACCGGCGCAGCTTCCAAGCTTGGGTTGTGCTTGGCGAAGTTGGAGTAGGATGCACAACCTCGCAGCGCCCTAGTCCGATGTGTTTGAACCTCGCCAAGCCCAAGCCAAGCTTAGAAGCTGCGTCGATAGTGGGCTCGAAGTTCGTCATTGTTTGCATTTCATTTGAACCCGATGGTAGGTACCTAATTGGAAAAGAACTGGGCATTTATTGCTAGCCGGACCATATGTGGAGATTTTAGGAGAACCAATTACTTCTTTCTGGGTTAATCACTGTTTGGGATACATGTATTAACCTAGTTTAGTATTGTAAAGATAATTATATCAAATTGGAGATACTTAAATAAGAAGTTCCCCATGGAGATTACAGCTGGTTAAATATGTGATCTATTCCAGCTAAAAGCAAATGCACTTAAAAAAACATTGTGGCACTTTGTTCTCATTTGTCTGCCACAAGAGGCACTCTACCCAAATATACAACTTTTATTTGTTAATTTACATTGAAGACACCTGTTCCTTGCCAGTGCCTTGAAATTCCATTCCATATGAGTATAGTGGATAAGACAAATGGGCATAGTGTTGAAGTTTGTGTTGTTAGTCTGCTGTGATTCCACTCATGCACCAGATGCAGTTTCCTGCTCCATCCTGATAAAAATCCGCCATGTTGCGCAAAATTGCACTGCTTGCCGAATTGGGCAGCGACTTGCGCCACCTATCCTAGCCACGTGCAACCTGAACCGCGGCAAAGTGAAGGACACCTAGCAGCTGTGCTGTCAACCTGGCAAGTGCTTCTTTCTGAGGCAAATGCAAGGTTTTCTGAGAACATGACTAAGCTGGGAGGCATGAATGAAAAGCTGCAAAAGTTTTAAGGGACTGGTCTTTGATAGGTTCTTTGTGTTCAAAATAAACAATGTACAGTAAGTTGCTTCAACAGTTGTCAAGTTTTTTTATATAAGATAGATTTGTTTAGTAGTCCCTCATATTGGATTTTTATGAAAGATAGATCTCTTCTAGTTAAGCTCGTGGAGACAGTCATTACAAAGTAAATTAAACTGTCTACATCAAAAAAAAATCTTGCTAGGGGATTTGCAAACCTTAAAATTCTCTTAACTAAATTTAGGTGATCATAAAATGTAATAACTGCATGCTCAAAAATTCTCCGGAAAGTGATATTTAGGTGCTCAAAATTTCATGTTCATCTGGTCCAAAGTGCTCCAAAAGCCATTTTTAGGTGCTCCACGAATTGCTCCAAATCGCAATTTTGAGGTAGCATCACTGAGTCTGGCATAAGAGTTGTTTGCAGTCCATCTTCTTCATTCATTTCATTTATTTCCAAGTTAACAGCCCAATTGGGGCATTACATTACACAGCGGAGGTATACAAAAACAGAACGCAAATGCAATAATATTGATTTAATGTACAGATAAAACATGCAGCATTAATTTTACTTATTCGTAAAATATCTGAAAGAACACTAAAAAAACATAAGTGAAAAAAAAAAAAAAAATTACAGATATTAATACAGAAAACATGAGATTGTAATTTATTCAAATACACTGTTCCATCGTTCATGGTAACAATAGATGATGTCCACCGGTTCCATTCAGTAATGGCAATGTGAAGGAGGAGTTGATTAAAAGAATTGATTTTACCAGAAATTCATTTGACAAGTCATCCTGGAGAGTTGGCCAAGGGGAATCAATTTTGTGAAGGAAGCATAGTTGAGCAACTTTTCTTTGGTAGTGCAAACAGATTACCCAAAGTTGAATTTTAGAAGTCTAACACCAATGAAATGGTTGAGAGATCTCTTTGCCCTGCCTTTTATTTTTATTCGTCTTTGCTTCGGCAACTTTTTCTCTCTCTCTGTTCTTCTATGTCTCTTTCTTTTTCCATGGGAGGGAATGTAAGTTGCGCGACACTTGTACCTAATGCCACAGTTGCCTCACATCCTGGCATCCGGTTGGTTGCTGTTGTTTTCGTTGTCTGGGAAAGGAAGCAACAAAATTTTTCTAGCCGATTTCTTCTCCTCTGGTGTGGTCGTTCGTGCCTAATCTCACATTATTTTTGCCGGATATCCTGGAGGCACGTTGCACGTTTTGCAAATGTTGCAGGCTTCTACTTACGAGACCATGAATTAACCATGGTACACAATGTTTCTTACCCAATATATTTTCCATTGGTCAACGGTTGGGTAAAGAAATGCCATCCTATATTTTTGCTTTAAGACGGAATGGATTTCATGTTTTTTTTTTTTTTTTATTGCATTTAAAAGTTTTATTGAAGGAAGAATAAAGAAGAAAGAAAAAGATTTTTCAAGGTCTATAGTTGACTTGTAGATACTTTTTAAATTCAGGTTTTTCTAAAGGTCAAATGTACCTTAATCCTACAAACAGATGGGAGACACTTTTATTCTTTTGGTGGTGGCTTTTATTGGCTTTTTCGAGCTTGAGAGACACGCCACACATAATGTGATTCCCACGTTTATCCTACATTTAAATTTATTCGAGTGCCTAAGGGGCAATGTCTTCCTTTTGCTGCTTCTTGCGATGGCGATAAGCCCTTGAGTGGTCTGCACCTGTTTGTATCATAGAAGCCATGTCGACACACTGAAAGTAGTGCAGCCCGCAGCTGCGCTTACACAGCAGTCTATGACCTCACGTCCTTCAATGCAGTCGTGTCTTTGCATGATGTGGTCGTAAGACTGCCTAAGCACTCCGATTACTCACACGTAGCTGTTGTGAGTGCTCTCATTTGTATGTGATTAGTGTTTGAAATGTGCTGTGTTCAATGGAAGTAAATTTTTTTTAAATAAAATTGTCCAGCTGATAGAAAGATAGTGCTTCGGGCTGCAAGTCAAGGAGGCTCTGCTTCTATTCCTGTGGCTAGACACATATATTTATCATCACATAATCCAGTCATTATCATTATTAATTAATGGTATTTATTTATTTGTATATGCTGCTTTGGTGACCGTGTGTAGATTTTCATGACACCTTTTTGTAACATCCTAGCCATATCATGGGAACCAGCCGTCTAACAAATTCTCTGCTAGAAGTCAACATAACTGAAACATCCTGAGAAAAAAAAAAATATGCACTGTCAGTCTTGGGGCTTGCTGAACACCACCATGCAGTAATTTGCACAGCAAACTTTTTTTGTTTGGCAATTTATGAATAAAGATTGGATTTGGTTGCAGTACTTCTGCAATCTGGAGGGATTTTTCTTGATACCAGTTGTCCAGAGGTCAGTATTTTACAGGTTCCAATTAAAGGAAATCGGCATGTGATTTTGCCCAAGAAATTCTTTATCTGGGTGATGCCTATAAGCATTGATTGATGATAATTCATTGTGGAATTCGCTTTGGCGACATACAATCTTGTATAGGGATGTCGCAAACCACCCTAGGTTCGATTTCGAAAGGTTTCGATATTTGCAAAGCGAACTGAGGTTCGATTTCGAAAAATTTTGATATTTTCGTACCGACCGAGGTGCGATTTCGAAAAATTCACAACTTTTGATCACAGCGGAGTTTCGAATTCGAAAATTTCAAAGCTTTCACGTTTTTTTAAATTTCGAATTCGAATATTTCGAATATTTTTTTACTTCAGGTTCGATAAATTCGAAGATTTCGAAATTCTTTGTAAAAAAAAAAAAATTCGAAAACTTCGAATGCTTTCAATTTTTATAGACATGAAGTTCGAACAATTCGAAGATTTCGAATTTCTTTTTGCATAAAGTTCGAAAAGTTCGAAGGTTTCAATTCTCTTTTAAAGCTAAATTCAAAAAAAAAAAAAAAGCTTCGAAGATTTTGGATTTTTTTCTATACTCCGTTTCACCTTCAGTTCGAGCGCAGCGGACGCTAGGAGTAATTTCAGCCAATCCAGCGTGGAGAGAGTGTCATGTGACCTTGAGCTCCCTGTGTCCCTCTGCGCAACCGGCAGGTCACGCGATTTTCTCCCGGCGCTGGATCGGCTGGGATGGCTCGTGGCGTCCACTGCGCTCAGACTGAAGGTGGAACGGAGTATAATCCAAGTTTTGAAAGTTCGAAGTCCGATTTTCAAGTTTTTCCACAGTTTCAGTTTCAAATAACGTTTTCACGACTCACTTGTTTTCACAAAATCAAGTTTAGAAAAGTTAGGGTGTGATATCTAGATTCTGCGAAGTTGGTCAGGCAATTAATTGAGACGACGAGTGTCCCGGACGTGCTAGAATATTTGCCAGTGCAGAATTGTGACCGCCAGCCCCGGGGGGGGGGGTCTTTAACCTGCATGACACAGTAGTGAGTGCACGAACACACTGTTTTACGAGACTCATCCAGTTCAAAACGGCCAGGGGCAAGCAGGAGGTTGAGGCTCAGAAAAACTTTGAAGCAACCTGGCAAACTACCTCGCCAACCCTTGCACGCTGGTAGTAATCTGAGCCGGTGAAGTTTGTAATTGTCCTGGAGGTTTATTTTTTGGGACGGAGGAATCGCCTCGCAAAAAGCACAAAAGCCGACACAGCTCGAGGTCGAGGAACGTTCTACCATACAAGTGGCGTCGAAAGAGGAAAAACGGGGGGAAAGAGGGTAGCGGGAGGTGGGGGGGGGGGGGGGGGGGCTTTTGCCTCCTTCTTCCCCTTGCAGGTATTTCGGACTGTTAAAGAAAACAATACGGGGAAAGCGAGCGTGGTCGAGCTTATTTTAATCTGAAATTATTTATGCATATGTATAGCTGCTGTCGCTCTTCACTGCATAAAAGGTTGCATAGATGGTCATTGTTAGAAACTCGTTGTCAGAAGGCACTGCTCGTCACATGCTTAGTGGTTCGGAAGTTCAAAGCTGTCTTTTCGACCTAAACACCTGTGCCGATAGTAACAAAAAAAAAAAAAAAAAGAATAAATGCGGAAATAAAAAGCAGGAGAAAAAAAGAAACTATTGAGAATTTGTCGGAAGTGTTATATTGTTGCATATTCAGAGGTTCAGAACTTCGAAACAAGTTTCTTTTACCAAAATGTGTACAGGCTAAAAGAAACACGTCCCAGGAACGTGAAGCGAAAAAAAAAAGTTTTCTTTTAATGACGTGCTGAACTTGAACACTATTAGAAATCTTCTCCCATGAGTTAATTTATTCCTTAACATGAAAAAACAATAAATATATTATTTTGTATTTTGCAGATGGCAATGATATGTACTGCCTGTGGTGTTAATTTAAATGCGATACCTCAAACAACTTAGACGAAAATAAATATCAAGTTTAGGTCATAATTGCGTGCAGATACATGTTTGGACATTTCTTCGAAACTCACGTTGAATAGCAATAATCACATCTTAAGACGGCACTTACCTAGGCTATACATAGATCATTCTTAAAAAAAGTATAACATGTCTACCATAAATAGCTCCGGCTGCAGCGTGCTTCAAATCTGGCACAAACGATAATCGTCGAAAACCCGTCGTCCTTCCTCGCACCTTCGGGATTTATTTCTTTAAACCTAAGCATGCCAGAACATTGAAATAAACGACATTGTCTTTCGTAAGGAACGCAGCACCGCGTGTAAAAGTTTGAGAAAAAAAAAATTATGAATCTACCCCACTACTTGAAATCAAATGAAACCGTCCGCCGGTCTTTCGAAGTTCGACGAAGGTCAAACTTTTCCCCTAAAAGTTCGAAGTTCGACGAACTTCTGACTTTTCAGAATTCGAAAGTTCGAAACTTTTAGAATTCTCTTGATAAATAAGTTCGAAAGTTCGAAATTCATCGAATTTTTTGGTCAGTCAAGTTCGAAAGTTCGACAAGCATCAAACCTTGCAGCGCAATAAGTTCGAAAGTTCGAAAAAGATCAAATTTTTTAGCGTAATAAGTTTGACGGTTCGAAAAGCGTCGAACTTCTTAGCTTAACAAGTTCGAAAATTCGACCTCCGTCGAATTTTACGATATAGGCAATTCGAAAAATCGAAATCTTTCGAACCGCTTGATTCGATCATCGAAACTTCGATTTGAAAAAAGTTCGCGGCATCCCTAATCTTGTATGCATACAAAGCTAAACTGTATGTTAGTGAAACATGCAGTTTTTGACGTCATCCACCCGAGGAAAAAAATATAGGAAAAACCTGTGAACAGGTCTGAAAAACGGAAATAACAAATTGGTTCGGCTGATAATCGCGAAAAAATGGGGGATGGGTGCTTGTCCGGTCATCAGTTTCACTTCAATGTACTGTGCATATTTTCTCAGATCTTACAAACTTAAGAATGGGCACCTAGTGTGGAATGGGCGGATGCGCGGTATTCTACGGTAATGGAAAACTAGTTTTCTTTCAAATTTATATTTTATAAAAAGTTGTAGGCAGATTAAATTTTCAAAACAAAAATAAATGTTGTATGTTGTTACTAGGGGATGTTTGAGTAGCCAATGATGGTTGCAAATCGCATGGCCAATTGGCTGCAAACTGACAGCCAATGATGGCTGTCAGTTTGCAGCGTTTCGGGCCTTTTAGGGGTACTTTGCTCAAATCAAATTGTTCCCAAAGAAAGGGAAAGAGAAAGAGTAAGCTAGTTCAGTCAAAAGGAAATGAGAACTAGCACATTGTATGAAAAAATTATTAAGGTAGCATTCCGTTGCATTTTCATTTTCTGCTTCTTTAAATTGTGTTTTCTCTTTGCACACGACGTTTCTCTCGCCTATTGTAGTCGCACATGCTTGTCACCCCTTGGGGCATGGTATGACTGAGCTGGAAACCCGTTAAATAAACTATTGTATTTTCCCAATTAAATAAATTATTGTTTTTATATTTTTGGAGACTTGCACTTTTGATCCTGATCAGCATGCACTCTAAGAGAAGCATATCACCAGAGAGAACTAGAAAATTAATTGCATGGTCCCTTTAAGATTTTAAGGAACAGATTATTTCTGTAGCATGATTGCTAATCTTTTTAAGCAGCATAAAGTTGAACTTTGTAATTGATTAAATCTGAATGCTTAGAAGGTTTTCCGTTCGCCATACTTCATTTCACGTCAAGATGGGCCGCGGAGGACACAATGAGCCATCTAAGCCCATTCAGTGCCATGCGAGTGTCACGTGACCTCTAGGAGAGCTGCACCGACACACAGGGTGCATGGTCACATGATGCGTTCTCAGCGTTGGATTGGTTAGGGCGGCTTGTAGTGTCTACTGCAGTCCATCGTAAGCTGAAGCAGAGTATAATGTCCTGCAACATTTTTTGTCCAGTGTCTCTCTTCCCAAATCTAAATCTAATCTAAACCTGTTCAAACAGTTCTAATATATGTGTGCTACCCAAGTTCTGTCCATTGTTCTCAATATACTCATCGCTTGTTTATTTGGTTGTGTGTGTCTGTTTCCAGTGTCAGTGGGGCTTCTGTATCCGTGCGTGGACCACAAGCTGGGTGAAGAGACCATACCCCACCGGTGGTCCGACGTCATGAAGTGCATTGCTCTTTTCGTCGGAATCAACCAAGCCAGCGCTGTATCCTTTTTTCTTTTTTTTTTATGGTCCCTGTCAGGGAGCTAGCTGTACACTACAGTTCTTAGCTCTGAGAAAACTCGCTCGCTGTATTTTAAACCATGCAGCCTTGTTTTGGTAAATCAAAATTGCATATAGAATGCCAGATTATAACATCTTTACTGCGATGCAAGATTGAGTAAGCGTTGGAATGCACTCTAGAGGCTGGTTCAGACATTAACATTCGAGTGTAACTGTCTGCGTTACGATCTCTAATGACTGTTTACGACGAGATGGTTGCCACGGGCAATCAAGGTCCACGCAATATGTCTTAACGTAACCAGCCTGAAAAGACGCCGATACTTAAGTCCCCATAAACAAGCTGAAACACTTGAAGAAAAATTGAGCTAGGAGTGACCTTTTGTATAATGTCACCTGAATTCAAACATTGTACTCTAAATTGGACATAAGTAAACATCAACTGCTTTTATACAGAAAATAATAGGCAGCAATTGCACCAGTGCATCCAGCGAGCCTTGCAGTTGCCCGTTGGTCAAGGCATTGTGACATAATTACTGGTCTACCTATTATGGATCCACTATAGAAAACACACACTGTTATGACATGTGTTGTATTAAACCAAAAAGGAAACAACAAAATTAATTTTGTTAGTTTTGGGGGAGGGCAATCGGGTCGCATCAAACTTAGGCTCTGAGGCAGTGAAAAAGAAATCTGTACATGACTTGCAAAGCCTCGATTCCCACTCTAATTTAGGTGATGACATCAAAGTCCTTTGTGAAGTTTTAAGAGGAGTAGCGTAGCGAGCATATATATTACTTCACCACTATATTTGGGCTGAGAGGCCTACTTTCAGTTATTTGTGATTACAAATTGGTGGTAGGCAGCAAATAATATGAATTTCCTTATAACACATTTTTTTTGTGTGCCCCAAGTCTTGAGAATTATGCACTACTATAAACGCATGATTGGTGGTGCTTTCCAAGCTCGGAACAACTAACCTTCAGTGGTCATTTGTGGGATCGTGCCTGACAACTTGGCAGTCATGTAAACCACCGATGAAACCAGAAACAAGTGTGTAAATCTAGACAGTGATAGAGAAAGGAACAAACACGGTTCTGACCAAGGCGCTTGTGGGCCTAGTGTGTGCACAGCATTTGCAATTCTTTTTAACTTTGCATCTTGTAGAGTTGCTGACAGGACGAGAATGTTTGTGCGTCTCCTTCGGATGTCCAACCTTCAGCACACGCCTGTTGCCCTCTGTCGTTGATTGGCTGCATTTGCACACTCAAGGCTCAAGAAATGTTGAAACACCGCCGAAGGTGGAAAGCTTTCACTGGAGGTGCAACAGCTGAAGGTCCTCCGTGCCTTTCTAATCCTCTCTGTGACTATAGTGTTCTACAGGGTGACTCAAGGAGACGCCAGGCTCTTTAAATCGACCGCAAAATTCAATTTCTTAACCTATCGCGCTACGACTTTGTGCAGCGTTGCCCACAGATGGTGCTTTTTTTTTTATAAAATTTGCAAGGAGCAAACTTACCTGAGGAAAAAGTAAAGAAAGAAAAAGGCTTTGCTCCTATGGAAATGCAGCAATGCCGCCGGTCTTCAAACAACACGGCGCCGTTTCGCACGGGAGACAAGAGATGGCGCAACGAACGCCGCCAACGAACGAGCATACGGCACCGAGAGCCGGCGTATTTAGCAGACAATCTTTTAGACTCAAAAGCGGCGCGCGTTCCGCAGGCGGCGACAGTCGCAGAAACAAAAACAGGCACGGTAACAACAAGGAACTGCAGTTCCTTGTCTGCTAAAAACGCCGGCTCTCGGCGTCGTCTGCTCGTTCGTTGGCGGCAGTTGGCGTCGTGACCGCTTGTGCCAACTCTTGTCTCCCGTGCGAAACGGCGCCGTGTTGTTTGAAGACCGGTGGCTTCGCTGCGTTTCCATAGGAGCTAAGCCTTTTTCTTTCTTTACTTTTTCCTCAGGTAAATTCGCTCTTTGCTAATTTTACAAAAAAAAAAAAATGCACCATCTGTGGGCAACGTTGCACAAAGTCGTAGCGCGATAGGTTAAGAAACTGAATTTTGCGGTCGATTTAAAGAGGCTGGCGTCTTCTTGAATCACCCTGTATAGTGGCACATTGCACGTGCACGTGGGGTGAAAGTTCTTTAACGCCGGCTGCAGAAGATTGAGCTACAGAGCGACTGGCAGCCGTCGCTGTCCCTGGTGCTGCTCTCGGTGAGCCTGTGGTGGCTTTGCGACAGGACCCACAGCGGGTTCGGGCTGAGCATCCTGACTGCCCTGATAGCCACCCTGGTGGCACACTTCCTCGTCTACTACCGCATCGGCAGGTGGGTTCCTTTCTCCCTGCTTCTCAGCACCCCTCCCCTCCCTTTCCTTTTACACTGTGGATTATGCCTAAAACGAGGACAAAAAGAGTGGCATAGAAGACAGGCTGTAACTTTCAACTGAAATTTATTATAATACACACATAAGAATTGTAAAAAGTGCACTTGCGCAAAAAGGATACATTTAGATTAAAAGCCCGAAGCAGCCGGACGACACTGGTGAATGACGGAGGCTTGGCTGATAAAGGCTTGCTCCTTATCTTGAAGGGCTATAGAAGGAGTGTTGACACAGACGGTCGATCCATGTGATTTAATCATGAAGGCTTCATATTTTTCACGTGCTAGTTTTGTTTTAAAGCTCCCCACAATCTTAGTTCCTGGAAAATCTGGGTGGCATTCGCATTTATCACAGTGTACAGCCAAGTGGCGAGACGGGGATTGCCTAGTGGCGGCTCAGTCCTCTCGAGTTCTATCATTCATGCACCCTTTCTTTTGTTTGTTGCCTCGTCATTTTACAGTGACAGCCATTATAGGCACGATTTCGCAGTGGCTCCCCGGATGTGTGTCTTCTGGGGTTGTCGTGGCTGGGAAAGTCCTCCGCTAAGTTTAGTGGAAAAATTTCTCCACTAAACGTCACATGACGCCATGACATTGTGGTGTTACATGACACCATAATGTGACATTGTGAGGACCTTTTTACATCACATGGCACAATAACATGACATTGTGGTGACACTGTTTCATCATGTGACACCATGACATGACACTGTGATGGCAGTATTACATCAAGTGACAGCATAACATGACATTGTGATGACATTGTTGCACCACATGACATCATAATGTGACATTGCGATGGCACTGTTGAATCACATGATTGCATAACATGGCATTCTGATTACACTGCTATATCATGTAACACCATGATGTGACATTGGGATGACACTGTTGCATCACAAGACAGCATAATATGACATTGGGATGACACTGTTGCATCATGTGACACCATAATGTGACATTGTGATGACACTTGCATCATGTGATACCATAATGTGACATTGTGATGGCGCTGTTACATGTGGACAAAACGCCAACTTGGGCAAGTTGGTTATCCATGTCTCAAAATAACAGCACCAAGTAGGGGGTTACATACAAACACACGTCACCGCCGGCCACAAAAACAGTCACAGCGGACAAAACACTCACACAGCGCTGACTCACAACTCAATCGATATTTGCACCTCTTTTTCATATATGTATTGTCGATAAATTTGTGAATATGTATCGAATGTATTACAAACACGTAGATGAAAAAGAAGTGCAAATATAGATTGAGTTGCGAGTCAGCGCTGTGTCTGCTGTGATTGTGTCACTAAGTGATTGTTTTTGTAGCCGGTGGGTGACCCATGTTTGTATGTAATCTTCTACTTGCGCTTTTGTTTTGAGGCTGTTACATCATTGACACCATAACATGACATTCACTTCGCTTCACTTTATTACCTTAAAGACCGTAGTGGGGGTATTACATAATGGGTGGGGTGTACAAAATAAAAATTTGAAAAAGTGCGACATGAATTCATTGAGATAAATTGAGGGTGACATTTCCTATGAAACTTGATGGGCAGGTGATGGCAGCGATCTTGTAGGAAAGGTTGTTCCGGTCTTTGGCTTCTGGGGAAAAAAGTGAGGCAGAAAAAGTGAGTGTGTGGGACTCTGGGTGGACAACCTGAAGCAGATGACCGGTACTGTGGGGCCTGTGTGCGGGGGGTATGATGTAAAGTGTGATACCAAGCAGAGAGTAGAACTTGTGAAATAGATAGAGGCTGGAAATGTGGCAACGACAAGAGTTAGCGAAGATGACTCAGAGTTTAGTAGCATTACACTGACATTGAATGAATCTGGTGGTGCGATTTTGAGTGCGTTGATAAGGTATACTTGGTGTGGGTTCCAGATTGCGGATACGTAATCAAGTTTGGGTCTGATAAGCGATTTAGAGGCAGGTAATTTCACGTGTTGCGGTGCATGACATAGGTGACGTTTTAAGAATCCCAGGGATCTGTTTTCAGAAAAAATGATTTTAGTAACATACGCACGCCATGATAGCTTGTTACAGAGGGTAACACCAAGGTACTTATGACCCAACTAGCTCTTTAGGAACGTGAAGGATAGCATGGGGGAAGGATACAGGGTTACGGTGACGCTGAAAGGACATTACTTCACATTTGTTAAAATTAAGAGGCATTAACCACCTGTTGCACCATTTTTGTATGTTGTTTAGGTCGTTCCAAAGGATACCTCAATTGAAAATGTTAATAACTGAGTGATAAATAAGACAATCGTCGGCGCATATGAATATGACACATGCATGGGTAAGTCGTTGATGTAAATTAGAAACGAAAGGGGACCGAGGATGGATCCTTGGGGTAAGCCCGCTATTACTGGGAGAGAATGAGAAGACTGGTTACTGGAAGTGGTTTTCAAGGAATTCTTGAATCCAGTTTAGGACGTTTATATTTATGTTCAACTATGCAAGTTTATATATTAAGTGCTTATGAGGTACTTTGTCAAATGCTTTTGCAAAGTCTAAAAAAAGGCACTCGTTCGTTTGTTATGTTCAAGATTAGTATGCAGATCATTAATGAATAGGGCCAGTTGGGTTTTGCAAGAGAACTTCCTGCGAAATCCGTGTTGCAAAGAATAAAAAAAATCGTTCAAGTCCAAGAAATGTATGATCTGAGAGTAGATGACATGTTCCACGATTTTGCAGCTTGTTAAAGAGATAGGGCAATAATTTAATGGGGAATCTTTGTTACCTAATTTGTAGATCAAAACAACCTTTCCTGCTTTCCAGTCTTCCGGTAGTGCGCATGAGGAGAGCGATTGCGAGAAGAGTAAAGCCAAATATTCTGCAGATGCATGCCTAGAATGTTTTAGGAGTTCTGAATTCATATCATCTACACCAGCTGATGACGACAACTTGTAGTTAACAATAAGACTGTGATGGCGTAGGCGAGCTGGTGTAGATTCACTATTTTTTAACCACCTGAGACTTGGTGGAGAACTAGAAGAACTGAAAGTGGAAGGGACAGGAACAGAAAGACAGAAGGCGTCGTCTCAAACTCGGCTGAAAGTTTATTTAGTAACACTTCCATATATACCAAAACCCCAAACGTTATAGAGGACTTGCAGTTATCTATCACAGAAGCAAATCCCATCGGTAAAGAAAGTAATGGGGGGCATTGCACACTTGATATTAAAAAATAGCGTAGGGACCGGCACACTAGATTCTTTATTAAAAACAGATGAGAACGCAATATTAAAAATGTTGGCGCTTTCGGTGTCGGTAACTATGTCACCGGATTCATAGTAAAATTAATAGTGCGCGTATGTTCAGAGTTTATCGTCTTCCAGAACTTACTAGGGTTCTGAATTAAAATGTTGGGAAGGTCATTGTGAAAAAGTGTGTCTGGCGTTACGAATTGCAGCTAGATAAGCATCTTCACCATTGAAGTATTTTTGCCATGCACTTGTGTTTCCATTTAGCTTGGCGAAGCAGAAAAGACCTTTTTTCTATTGTTTACTCGTTTGTGATTTAATTGAACCATGGTTTTTGGTGATTTGCATGAAGAGGGATTTTTGGAATAAATGTTTCAGCCAATGCTTGTTCTTGAAAATAGACCATTTATCATGAATTGATTGATTGCAAAATGTTGCTTCGAAACATAGAAGATAATTGAACAGCTCATTATTAATAGCATCATAATTTCCTTTATCGTAAAGGCGAATAGTCTTCTTGTTTGTTTGGCATATTATTGGTGTGAACTTAAAAACAGCATGAATAGCTTTGGGGTCACTGATTTCTCGGAGGTAATATATAGACAACAAACCATTTGGATGACTGGTTAGTATCAAGTCTAAAATGTTAGCAGAATCACATGCAACACGTGTCAGCTCTGGTACAATCTGGGTGAGGTCAAAATTGGGGCAAACCTCAGTGAACTCATTTGTTTCTGTAATGCTAACTATTAAAGGCATGGGGTTAGTCCAGTCCAGGGCTGGGCAGAGATACTCCGAAAAGTATTTGGGAATACAAATACTGGGATACATGTATTTTAAGGCCCAAAATACAGATACTGAGATACAGTTGCCTTTTATGCAATCCCTGAGATACTTCTGCAAAAATAGCGAAAAAGTATTCCGGAGTACAGATACAGATACTTATAGAAATACATTTCTTTCCGAATGGTACTATGTGGAGAGGGTATGGCAAATGCAAATGGTAACTTATGCTTGCGCTCCTCTTTTCGTGGCTTTTTACGCACTTACTCTTACATCAAACTTTTTATTTATCAAAAATGCCGCTAAAAAGTCACCCCCGGTGAACCACATAGTTACTGATTGATAAAGACTGCGTGCCATGCTTCACAAAAGGCGTCTGCCTGAAATTAATTCTGTTTTACCTAAAACTGTTGTCTTATATGCTTCCGAGTTACCCATAGGACGGGTACATTGTTACAGTGTTCGCTCTGCTAACTTAAAAAAGAGCGGAGGGCTTTGTGGAAGGAGCTTTTCCTGTTATACTTGCAAATACCCTTTTTTTAAACCACAATTTTTTTTTTTTTTTATCTTAATGGTGATTACTGTGATGAATCATAGGGTGGGTTCATGTTATAAATTCTTAAGCATTTTGCACCAAGCAGATGTTTCTATTTTTTATATATTAAATCCATAAAAAAAAAAAAAGCTGGAGGTGCACCTAAGCACTTTTTATGAGTTGTGAATGCGAACGCAAGCAAGCCGCTCGTCCGCTCCGTTTTGTCGTGTGCTTGTCCTCTCCCTTTGTCAGTAGCTGGATACTTGTTGCCGGTCAGCACGCGTTCTCCCCTGGGCACGCTGACCTTGGATGCTCCGTGTTAACGGCGCGCTGATAGACACGCAGCACCATGGGGTGAGCAGTCGTGGAAACTGACAAGCACAGCGGCCAATGGAGCCCCGTCGACGCGCGCCAGCCAATGGAACCGGAGGATCGGGGAAACTAGGTTCCGTTTTCGTACTTCAAGCTGATAACGTCAGCTCGCTCCATGGGAGAGTTAATGCTTTCACAGTAAAACAGTAACAAATGTAACGGGATACCTAAGTATGGCAAAGTATTGCAATACAAGCGAAACACTGTAAATGTATTTCATTACTGAGATACAAATGCATTTTTCAAGAGTATCTCCAGACACAGATACAGATACTCGAAAGTATCTCTAAAATAGTATCGCAATACATTGGTATTGCAATGCTACCACACCCTGGTCCAGTCAATATTGTGGAAGTTGAAGTCTCCAAAAAGAAGATTGTGTGCATTGGGGCTCTCTGCAACAAGTTTGTTATTAATTTATTAATGCAAAAGCATTTATTAATGCAAAAGTTATTAATGCAAAAGCATTAACTGTCTCATGGAACAAGCCGACGTCATCAGCTTTGAAACCACACCAAGCGGCTCTTAAATCCTTCTCCAAGTCAAGCTAGTTCCCATTTGCCGGTTAGCCACAGCACCTTTTACACCGCTTCGATCCCATTGGCTAGCAAGCGTCGGCCAGGATCCCATTCGTGGACATGCACCGTCATGGTCGTTGAAACTGATGCTGCATATCAGTTTCAACGACCGGCCACCTCATGCCGCTGAGTGTCCGTCAACGCCAGTAAGGGCGCCAACACCCGTGTTCCCCTTCTTGTTCCCCTTCTCCAGGGATTATTTTCGTCATTCTTGTCCAGCTCGCTTGATCCTTTGCATTTGATTGCATTATAATAGTAATGTACATGCTTTTGCATTCACAACTCATAAGAACTGCTTAGGTGTACCTCAATCTTTTTATTAAGTTTTCTGAAAAATATTGGATTATTATGTGGACATCTGTAACAAATGCCTAGAATAACAGCTTCAGGTGTAGCATGGCAGATAAGCCATAAAATTTCAATTTCAGATGCAATGTTGACAACAGAACATGGAAATTCCTGACTGATGGACCTGCATCATGTGACACCACAATGTGACATTGTGATGACACTGTTGTATCAAGTGACAGCATAACGACATTGCGATGACACTGTTGCACCATGACGTGGCATTGTGATACACTTGCATCACATGACAGTATAATATGACATTGTGATGGCACTGTTGCTGCAAGTGACAGCATAATATGACATTGTGATGGCGCTTTTACATCAAGTGACAGCATAATATGACGTTGTGATGACACTGTTGCATTATGGTGGCATCACAATGTGGCATTGTGATGACACTTGCATCATGTGACACCATCATGTGACATTGTGATGACACTGCTACATTCAGTGAAACCATATTGATGACATTGTGATGATAGTTATATCATGTGACACTATAATGTGGCATGGTGATGACACTTTCATCACTTAATACTGTGGCATCATATGGCATCATGGTGTGTTTGTGTCTACAGGGTGTCACAAAAAAAAATTTACAGGTTTTTGTTTTCTGAAAAAAATAAACTAGGCATCGCCGAACTCTCATTCCCTGCCCAAAGGTAATGCCAGAGGTCACAACCAGATGCCAAAGTTTCAGCCCGATCCGATCCTTATTCAAAAGTTACCAGTGATTTTCTGAAACTTTCATTGGGAAAATGGCGACCGACGGAGTTTTCGAATACATGGGGCTCTATAGGCACCAGAAACTGAAAATGGGCAAACATGGGCTCTATTTTCCCATTAAAATTTTCAGAATATCACTTATAACTTTCGAATAAGGTATCGGATCGGGCTGAAACTTTGGCATTTGGTTGTGACCTCTAGCGCTACCTTTGAGCGGAGAATGAGCGTTCGGCAATGCCTAGTTTATTTCTGCGTAAAAAAAAAAATTTATTTTGTGACACCCTGTAGATAGTGTGTGTGTGTAGCGCCTAGCTTGGCTGTTGCGGCAGTTCATTTACAGGACGCAACAAGGAGACGAGAATTTTGTTTTTTGTTCCTTCCATAAATAACAATATTTTGGCCTTTGCATCATTTGTAACAAAGGGTAGTCACCGAGGCTCCCTCAACATTTTATTATGCTTAATTGACTTCTGCACGGTCTGCCCTGTTTCGTCAGGTGCTCCGACAAGGATCTGACTTTCGTGCGGTCCTGGCTACCCTGTGTCTTCTTCTCGGGTGGCATCACGGTGGGCAACATTGGAAGGCTGCTGGCATTGGTGAGCCCTTGTCTCCTTACTGGTCTGTAGCACGGTGCCTCAGTGTACCAGACAGTGGTGTCATTGCCGTGTAGGCAAAATGCGACGGAAATAACTTGTTGGTTGTATTTGGTGGAGTCTGCCTGGTTGCACCAGAGAACCATGCAGTACCTGCACTGGATTGGTTTGGGCTTGGCTGCAGTGTGCCATCGCTGCCTTGTACTATCTTCCATTGCACCTTATGATGGACTGCAGTGGATGCTGCAAGCCATCACTCATCACTGCCAATCCAGTGCTATGCACAGTATCACATCGCTACATACTTCACGTGTCGCTGCACCCGTTCCGAAGGTCGCAGGACTCCGCACGGCATTGGATTGGCTTCAGTGGCTCGTAGCTTCCTCTGCAGTCCATCATTAAGCGGAGCAGATTATACCATAACATCCCGTAAGGGAGTTCTCCCCCTAGAGATCGCCGATCCCGTTTTTCTGGCTAGATAAACAAACATAAAAATTCCGAAACACCGCCCACGCCCCGATTCCCATCGGACATTGCGCAATGTTTGACGAGAATCACATGAGCTGCACGGTCTGCAATACCGGCACGTGTGACAAGCAGGTTTGCAGCGGGCTCCCATGTTTTTCTCTGCAACCTGCTTACGCAATATCGGTTCCCATGGCACGCAAGTTTAGCCGGTTTCTGCATGTTTATCACGCTGTGAAACGTCAATCTGGTGTACCTGCAGTCTGCATTATCTTTTCCCATGACGGTAGTTTGTAGCCGATTCTCGCGTATTTATGAAACGCTAAATTTTCGTGTCCGCAACCTGTGGTATCAGTTCCCGTGTCACATGGTTTGCAGCAATTGCCCCTTGAGTTTATCTTTAATTTTTTTTTAAGTTTTGCTGTCTCATCTCCTTCCTTACCATTTACAGTCAAACCTCGATGTAACAAACTTCTATGTAACGAAATACATAACGTTTCCTAATCACAAGTGTATGCACGCCATGTATTTTTGACCTCCATGTATCGAAGTCCCGTTTGCCGAAATTTCGATGCAATGGAATTTCGTGGACAATTTGTCGCAAACTTATGGGTCCCAAAGGAAATTTTGGGAAGCTCATGCGCTGAAATGGGCACCCAATAAAGCGCAAAGGGTGAAACGGGCCGAATCTGGCAAGTGTGGTGTACAGAACGGCTACGAGAGGACACTAGAGCTGCCGCCGTTTCGTCCGTCGGCTTCGTTCGCACTGCATAGTTTGTTTCGAGGGCTAACTAAAAGCATGCGTTTCTCATTGTCCTGGGCGATGGAGCCTTGAAGGTGATGGAGCCGCCCTTGACAACGTGGACCTGGACGACTTTCTATATGCCGATTCTGCTGTCATTGCGACAGAGGAGGTGACCGACGAGGCGATCGCTAGCGATGTTGTTGGGAACTCGCAAGACGGGGACGACAGGAGCCTGATGAGCAAGACACTAGCGATGTCCCCAGTAACCGTGAAGTGGTGGACGCAATCGATGTCTTGAGGCGGTTCGCGATCACACAGCAAAACGACGACGCGATGCAGGCCGTCTGGCTTTGCGAACGTCGTGTGATGCCAATAATAATGCCATGAGTGGCCCAGATAAAGGTGATGGACTACTTTCAACCGATATAGAGGCGTCCTCGGTGAGTTTTGTGCACCCGAGAAACATTTGTGGAAACTTTCTTTAACGTTACCCCGAATTTCTGTGTAGCGAAATTTCAGTGTAATGAAGTAAATTTCGAATTTTACCCACTTCGTTACATCGAGGTTTGACTGTATCACTTTTTAATTTGGGTGGGTGCCCTTGCGAGAATTTACCGTAATCATTTGCCCGGCCTTTGGTCAACTACTGAAAAAACTTTGCTTCTCCCTTTCGTCATGAAGTAAATACTGACTTTTCCATCGAAGCCAAGTTCACATTTGTTTGTGAGAAGTCCTCTTATTATGGCATTGTTTGTGTGCATCTTTGTTTTTAGCGGATGCGAAGTATTCATCGCACGGGACACATAGAAGCTTTGTGACATTGAACCTCTGCATGTTTTTCCGACTGCAATAATGGCTTGCCATTGCCTCTTGAGATGTGCATGTGTTTCCCTGGTTTTCTGGAGTAGATTGTTTGGCTGTTGTGCAAAGACGAAATTACTGGTTTTAGTTGAAATGGCAATATAGGGGGATATTGAAACAAAATGTTTATGCCTCATTCAGTTTGCAAGCTTAATTAGAACCTTCTCATGTGAGCTGTCTTCCCCCAAAGCAGCACTGTGACACAGAAAAACTGGAGAGTTGTCAGAAGAACTCTACTGTATGAATACTTATGCAGTCAGATTCAGTAGAACTGGCTCAGAGTAAGGGGCAGTGCAATCATTCAGTCCCTGGACATTCAGGCTCACAAAGAGGCAGCTCAGTGGTGCCGTCCAGTAAAGAAATTTGTAACCAGACCAGCATTGACCGTGTAAAGACGGGTTATGTAACAAATGTGTCGGAACACACATTTGGGCGGGTTTTTTTCGAGTACTTCCAAAATTGGGGCACTTTCTACAATAAAATATATTAATCAATTTGAGAGAGGTTATTATTATGGTTGCTGTTGATTATTGTGTATAGCAAGCTGCATAGGCGTATGTTTATATCTTGGAAGATTTGAAATATCTATAACTACAGCTTCAAAGGGTTTCTGTAACCCTTTACGAAGACAATTTCTGGATATTAGAACAGTGCTGCGAATGACTTAATTTTTGTGCAAGCCTAATTTTTATAAATTTTGCAACTTGAAAAGCATATTAATAAAAAAATGTTATGCTAATATAGCGCCCCATGGTAACGAATACATAGCATACCACTCCCAGTCGCAAAAAATTTGTGCCTGCAAAATATTCTTGAAACCCGTATTTGGCAGAATTTGTGAAATATTGAGCCTGCGAAAATAAGGTTTCTTACAGTATACGAGAAGTCGCGAAATGTCAATACTGTGAGGATGTAATCATCCTCATCGTCGTCCCCACATGTCTCGCTCATCAAACTGTGACCCTCATCATCGCGCTGGTTGTGCAAAACTAAGCGCTCGGCTCTTGCGCTGGCGGTAGGACAATGGCGTTCAGAGTTAAACACCTTTCCCGGGCCAGCCTGCTTTGCCTGTTCTTCCTCGCAATACTTGTGCCTTCCACGGTTTTCTCAAATGACCACTTAATCATTTTTATTAAAAAATTTGCTTCTCGTACGAAGTCATTACTGCTTTCAGAGCAAAATCTTCCATATCTGTCTCATTTGACTATGCGCTTCTGCATCAAACGATGCACTCTTTAGAAACACTTTCTTATTTTGCTTTTCAAATGGGGAAAGGGGCTTGGATTGACTTTCTCACTTGCTTCTACCACGCAGGATGGCCAAGACCCCTTCCCAGACAAAAAACACCAGGAGTGAATCTTCTCCGACCTGTCTGGATCGCACCCTTATTTATTGAGACCACCAATCGCCACCGGAGCCGCGACCGCCGATCTCGGTCGCCATCACGGCGGCAAACGAGACCGGCGGCCTGGGGGACCTTCGACGAGTCCCCAGAGCATCGGAGCTCGCCGTCACGAGTTGCGGCCGCAAGTTCCGGTGTCACGTGACAGACCTTGTGCGGAAGTTTCCATCCATCCGCAGCGTGAACCAGACGACAGACGGAGGGAGCCCAAATAGCAGCTTGTGCCAAAAAGCAAAAAAAAAAAAAAAGGGGGTGGGGTGGGGGGGAAGAGTAAGTGCATAAGTGATGCAACGTTTCAGCCAATATTTCTCCCGGAAAGGCGATAATTAATGGGCCCATAGCATGCGGAATACTACTTCTTCATCTTATTTCCCTGACAGTCTTTTTTTTTTTTTTGATTGAACCTTGTTACTGTTTCGTTTTTTTTTTGCTGCAACGTATGGATTTCAGGAATTGTAATTCTTGTTTCTGTGCCACACGATTCCGATCCAAGGTGATGGGTTTGTCATCACAATCTCTAGTTAGGGTCGGCTCTAGAAACGTAAGGTGTGGCCTGTGATTCGTTCTTTAGCGTTCATGTCAGCTGATGCCACGACCTGATTGGCCGTGGACCAATAATGCGATGCTTGGGACTTGCAACGCCCTGTGTCCTGTGGGTTACCATGGCTGTATTAAACCAAAATCTGAAAACTTTGTCACGCTTTTTTTTTTTTTTTGATGCACATGTGTTTTGGCTTTTCAAGCTGCTCTTTTGATCTGTGTCTGGTTGAAGATTTTTGCGAGGAGGACGAACTCCCAGATGACAAATTGAATGCTTTTTTTCTTTGTTCTTCATTTTGTGTTTGTCCTACACGTTTTTGTGTTCTACTGCAGAGTCACAGTGTTTTAGAAACTGTAGTTGTGCTGAGAAAGAGTACCTGCTCCTTCATAAACATGGATGCGGGACTTGCGGCCCACATGCGATAATATTGTTTCGTGCGTGTCTTAAACTGCCTCGTCTTTGAAAAAAGAAAAAAGAATTGCTCGCGCACACTGCAGTTATTGTATGTCCCCGCTGCAGAACTTGTGTAGAGAAGATGTGTTCCGAGAATGTAGGTGCTATACTCTATGCTTTGTTCTACCTCATATGTCTAGAAATCAAAAAAACGGCCAACAGCACCAAAAAATCTTTTTTCCCAAAATGCAATAAGCTTTCTCTTATTGCAAATACCCCATAAATATTAGGTGCATAAGAGAATGAGCCAGTGGTTAGTTTTGTGCTTGAACATGGGTTGAGCTGCTGTCATCTTTCGAAGGCACTTGAAACCGCAATCCCATACCTATAGGCTGCGGCCAGATAAACTACACTGAAGGAGGTGTGTGGCTTTGTTCTTTTATGACTGACTCAATCCACATACTTCATGAATTCTAAGGATTAACAAATTGTCCACATAATTTCTAGAACAAGTTCAACGAAAAGATCCAACACTCTTGAAAAGACGAGGAGTGGAAAAGGTTGGAAAAGAAGAAATTAGTGTCCGAGCTGTGTCTGATCTTTTCCACATTGCTAGCATAGTCGGCCAGTGGCAAACAGCAAAGGCCGCATTCATTGCTGATGGCATGTTGAGCGCCGTCACGATTGGCTTATGGTTGCCCAACGTTCACCAATCACACTTCATTTTTCTTTTCTCCTTTGCCTCCTTCTTAGACCATGTTCTCAGAAAGGAAGAGGGGGTTTGGAAGCTCCCATCCATTTTTACTTGGAAGCAGCATGCACATGTGGGTAATTTGCCAACTTTTAGAATCCGTGAACCTGTAGACAACTGGAAGCCTCTTCAGTGTGGTGATGGTATCGACAGCTGTTTTAGTTTGCTAGAAGGGGGGCCGGCTATTTGGCCTTAAAGGTTGACCTGCAGTTGTCATGGAGAGGGATCTTGCTTCCTTTTCCCCCTCAGCCACCATTCTTCAGAGTGTCAGCTTTGTGCTTATTTCAGATTCTCTTGTCCCCTGAAGTTTCCTGAAGTAGGGGCGCTTCAACTATCCACTTGAATAATGCAAAGAGCAATGACAATACAGAAGTCTTAAAATACATGAATTGAGACTCGTGTGTTGTCCCTCATCAAGTTCTCTGAATCTTGGGTACCGATCCTTAACCTATATCAGTTCTCTGACCTTATGTGTGCTTAGAACAAGATCTGAAATTTCAAAATAGCTTACGACAAAAACTGAAATAGTGAAGTTCGAAATTGTGAAGCTTGTGGCATGCATTCCTTGCTGCACTTGCCCTGGTAAAAATGTAAATTTTATTGAAACATTTTGCTCTTTAAACTGGCACTTTTTTCCTGTTAATGTGTAGGCTTTTATGTTGGCACGCATAGTAAAAAGAGCACTATTGAAAGAGATTGTATCTTGTTATTGAATGCTTAGTTTATGTCTAAGTTTAAGTCGAGCCAGATGGTGAACAAGGGCTCTCTGTGTGTATATATATTTCAAGTGGAGCGTGCAATTACTGTTTTTTGTACAGATGCACAAGCTTTGATGTTTTATTTTCAAAGCGCACTGAAGAAAGCTTGAGTGCCACATCTAAAACAAACACGTTCTAGTGTTTACCCGTTTGTTCGTCCCTGCGTGTTTTGAGTTTTTTGTTTTGTTTGTTTGTTTTGGTTAAAGAGTGAATTGCTGAAGAATAAAATTGTTCTGAGATTTAACCAATTATGATGATTTTTCTGGTTGCGACTCTGGCCGTCTGGTGTTCCACAACAATCCAGACCATAGCCTCCTCTATACTGAAAATACCTGCCCAATGGTTGCTTTGTTGTAATCACGCCTTCCTCACATATTTGCTACTAGGAGTGCCAAAAACCCCATACAGAAAGGCAGACAACGCTTGTCCACTGTCTTCTGCTACAGTGCACTGTAGCTAGTGTAAACTATGTTATCACATTAAGCTACGTGATAACGCAAGTTTTCCACGTTAGGTTACGCGGTATTGTGACCTAGCGTGATCAAATAGGTCACCTAGCTTGAAAAAACATTTGTGAAGTACCTTCAAGATATGGAGTCACGAAGTTGCGCAAAAAACTTCCTCACGCGTGAAACCTTCCAAGGCTTGCTGATGACTGCTGCCTTCAATGTGAAGTGCACCCGCTACCTACTGACGGTACAAAACTTCAGGTTTGTTTTGATGCGGAAATTGTCTTCTGACCCCATAGAATCCTTCGGGTGGCTTCAAAAGTCTGCTGGCAGCAACGACCAGATGTACATGAGTGCTGCCATTTCTGGCCTGGAGAATATTGAAAACAGGGATAATCTCTGCCACCAGGGACAGCAACGTGGCACGCTTGTCGAGCTGGCAAACACTCCCTCTATTTGCAAACAAGAGCGCAGTACAGGACGAAGCAAATGCTTTTCTCAAGGAAGCAAAGGCTGTCCTCGAAGCTGACTTGACGCGAACACGCTACTTCCTTCCCACCCTTGAGATATCGATCATCTCTTTGGTAGGGGGATACTTAGCACGGATGGTGAAGGAACATGCCAACTGCAGTGACTGCTTCCTACTGGTCGTTAAGCAGGCTTCTGTGGCTTCCAGTGACTCCCTCATCGGGGAGGACGATATTATCCATCAGAGAAGCTATTGAGAATGTTGTATGCTCAGAAGAACTTCGTAGGAGGTTTTACTGAGAAAAAGAAATATGCATGGGCGCACCATCCCGGGGGGGGGGGGGGGGGGGGGGGGCGGGGCGGTGGCAAGGGGGGTGCTTGCCCCCCAGCTCTCAGAGTGGGAGGGGAAGGGAGGCAAGGCATGTGTTTTGCCCCCCCCTGAAACAGCCGCCACTGGGAAAGGCAAACACTCGCCGGCGGCACCCAAGGGATACCCATAGCGCCGCCCCCCTTCCCCCCGGCGCTGGTAGCGGAGAGAGAGGTTTGCCCCCCCCCCCCCCCCTCCCCCTCAAATACAAGTTGTATGCCACTGGAAATATGCTGAAAAAGCCTATGCATGCAGCTGGTGAGACTGCGGTGGATAAACTTATGCACCATGGGGCTCTGAAATGTGCAAATTCAAATAAAGATGTGAACCATTACAAAGATTTCCTGCAACTTCTGTGTACTAAATTTTTCACGCAATTTTCACAAAACTACTCGGCATCCGTGACTAACAAGCATGACGTCAAGAAGATCTTCAACAAGACACTATCTAGGCAATCGTTAAAGCTCTAGAACTGCATGCATACATGAAAAATAGTGCGGACCAAAAAAGACCGGTCAAAAACATTAAAAAAAACTGTGCGCTTAAAAAAAATTGCAAATGTATTTTAAGATTTCCGGTCAGAGTGCTGCCGACGGGTGCGCAGATTTTCGGTCATCGGGGACTTGTTCGCGGTCCTGAGAAAAACCACTTGACTGCCACATGTGGTGCGCGGACCCTATGTTTCGCTAAGTGGTCGCTGTTTCAACGTCGTGAAAGTCCGCCAGCCTGTCTGTCTCATTTTTAATTGGTATTGACTGTTTCTGTTGTCGCTACGACTTATTTTATATATAAAAGCTATACTGACGGTTCTCTGCGCTAGTTATGTAGCACGGGTTACGAATGCATTCAATTCACAAACGGCATCACAGTGGACTGGCAGCGCGGTCTGCATTTTTGTATGGGGTTTTGGCGTCTCTAGTAGTAGTAAATATGTGAAACAGGCGCAACGACGACAAAGCACGGGGAAGCCAAGAGGGATTATCAGTATAAAGGAGGCTATGCCCAGACAAAATGTTCCCAGTCAAAATGACCCCGGACAAAAAGGTCACAGTTGAATTTTGCAGCTTGGCTTTCGATCTTTGAATGTTTCTACCCACTGAACACATAGCAAAGAAAATATTGGGCCAAATACTTGTATACAAATGGTTCGTCATTTTAAAGTTAATTAATGCTTCTCAAAGCATACTTCAGTCCTGTGTTTTGACCGGGTAAGCGACATAACCAGCAAGTTCATGCTGTTTATGTAACATAAGTGGCACAAACCTTCTACCGTTGGGGCAATTCTTCATGCATTCAGCTTGTAAGAGAATTTTGTGCATACGAATTCATTTTGTGAAATATATACATCTTTTAGTTTCAATTGTCAGTGATAGTACTTCTGCAGCAAAGCGTTTACTCTGCTGCATACTGCTACACTTCACCGAAATGGTGGAAATCAGCACCAACATTGCACTAAAAGCATTCAGTTCAGGCGTCGCTACACTACCGAATTGCCACTTTGCTTGCGCGGATTCTCAAAACTTTGTTGTATTGCTTAGAACGCGGCGCAATGGGATATGGTTTTATCGAACATAGTCAAGTACTTGGAAGCTTTGGGACATTTCCCGTTCATGGTCTGTTCAGGCGGTTTAGCTAACTCCGTTGAGTGCGCTTCTCACCGAGCACTGGGGCACTGCAGGAAAGTTACGCAAGCGGTGCTGACATAGCGATTTTGTGTTTGTTGCTTCGCCACAACGCAGCTTGTAGAGCGCCCCTCCAGGGTAAAGTGCAAAACCGCGCGTCGTGCACTAAAAGAAGAAAGAAAAGATACTAAAATAAAATGTGGGTTGATTGACAACACCGTTTTTCTTTTTTTCTTTTTTTTTTTTTATGGTGAATCAGGTTGATTTGGTGTTTCCAGGCTACGCTATAGGTTTTAATTTTGTTTATTTCACACCATTAAATAGGCCACCAACTGTTCGTGAACACAGTCAATAAATTAAAACTGAATTGCATGATTATAAATCTCCACCTGTAAGATTTCGTTGATGTGCATAATTAAATTACCTTTACCATGATAATTTAGTTCATAGGCTTTGCAGTGGATGCTAAGAAGCAGGGCCGTACCCAGAAAAAAATTTCGGGGGGTTTTCGGGGACGACGGTGGCCATTTTGAAAGTGTCTGTTGTCTTATTTTCGCCTATGAATCATGTGCATCGGTGGCATATAATGGGGAGTTACAGCAAACCGGAGAACCGGTCCCGGTTTGGTACCCGGTAGCCGACTGGCGCCACTGTGCGTGCGCAGAGGTGGAGATTAAAATCGGCTGGCTGCCTGTGCACCGACCAGGGCCGTACCCAGAAAAAAATTTCGGGGGGGGGGGGGGGGGGGGGGGTCAGAACCCCCTATCCCCCCCCCCCCCCCCCCCCTGGTTACGGCCCTGCTAAGAAGTGTTATGTTGCTAGTTAAGCTCAGGCGGATGGTTTAAGCAAACTGTTTAATATGTAACATACGTGCTCAGAGCAGCGGCTATGGCGATTGCTCGTCAGTTCCAAAACGCAACAGCGCGTGCCACCTCCTGCGAGCGTGCTCACTGGATGTCCTCTTCTTCTAGGATCAGAAAGCCTCATGACATCATAACATGCCCCCTTCTTTTTTTTTTTTTTTGAAGATAACGCTGTGCGATCGCGGCACTTGTCAGTCTCTGTACCATAGCGGCTTCACCACGACGCGTCGACTTCTTGTTTTTTGGTTATCCTGTTGACCTTGTAGACGTGGAAATGTGTTCAAGTGATTCGCCATTTGAAACTGTATGGACATAGTCTTCAGCAGCTTCGTTTGAGACTGTAGGGAAATAGTTTTCAGCAGCTGTATTCGTTTCTGCTGTTCCATGTGCTTCTTTGGTGTGGTACCGGTTGCGCCTGTAAGTCCTCATTGTGTTTCTGCTGCTGCTTGTCCTGGTTCCACTTGTTCTCCTCGGCACGAGACTGTTTCAAAAGGGACTCGTACTGCTGGGAGAGTTCCTCAATCTCGACTCGGCTTGCTGGTGCCTCCAAAGTTCTCGCTGTACCCCCAGTGCCCTCAGTGACATGTTCCAACCACGACCAACTCAACGAGGCCTCCACTTTTTGGTTTGGCGCCTGTACCAACCGTTCTTCAGCCTTGAGATGCTTGTCCTTGAGGAGGCGAAAGCGCTCTTGCAACTTCTGGTTTGCTTGCCACTCTTCTGTGAGCTGAGCACACCTGTCTTCCAAACGGCGTTTCTCTTGGGCTGCCGCGTGAAACTCTTCCTGCAGGTTCCTGTGTCTGTATACAATGTGGTTATACTTGCCCAACAGCTGGGAGTGGTCTGTCTTCAGCGCTAATAGTGCTGCCTCACACTTGGCCACTTCGTGCAGCGCAGTGCAGTGCTCGTTCTCCATCTCCTTTGTGGCCTTGACGTGCTTCTCGCGCTGAGTCTTCAACTCCTCCTCGAGGCAATGTCGTGCCTGTTTTAAGTTCTCAGCTAGCTGTTGAAAATGTTTGTTGTCGCTGACGAGCATCTCAGCTTGCTCCTCCAGGCAGGAAAGTTCTGACCACAAAATGTCGGCTTCGCTTTCTAGCTTTCCGTTGCGTTTTAGGAGGCTGCTGACTTTCTCGTCTAACCTATCGCACTCTCCCTCTGCCTTCTCGGTGAAGGAACTTCCGCCTGCTTCCGTTTGCGACGGATTGTTACACTTAACAGTATTCTCTCTTGCTCTCAAAGTCTCCGCCATCTTTTCGTGTCTCTGCTGCCAGAGGCGACTTTCATCAGAGACGCATCTAATTTTTTCACTCGCATCTTCACAAGATGATTTCCACAGCTGACTTTCTTGAGCGAGGAGCTCGTTCCTAACTGTCAAGGATGTGACCAGTTCCTGAAGCACTGCCAGCCGAGTTCAAGTCTCCCAGCTGACTTGTTTTAAGAGACACTGCAGCTTCTGACGACTGGTTGGTGTGATTGATGA